AGACACCTGCGGTCCAGAGTTTTGCAAATATCTCAGCAACGTTGTGGTTGGATCTAAGGACAGTTGGAAATTTAAAGTTCGACAAATGTATGTTACGCGAATTTAATGAAAACAAAAAAAAACCGCCGTTTTCAAGTATCGTCGGAGCTCCTTATGCACAATAACACCGACCTATTTCTCCCTCCATAGCAGTGCGACGTGCGACGAGAATTAGTTCTTCTGAGAAAATTGGCTCGATTCGATCGACCGATTTAGTGGTCGGCCCTCGACAAAGCTTTGTAACACTTTGAAAAGCTCAAACTGCACCGAAATGACGTGCTGATTCTTCGATGGCCCGCAGCCATACGCCACACTATTGACGCTGCATTGGACGGGCCTACGAAACTGTACCTCATCAACCACACTTGCTGTACTTCTCCTTTACGGCCTAATTCTCGTATTTGGACAAACCATTTAATAGGGAACGCTTTAGAAACTAAGTCGACGCAGAAACGGCATTCGGTGAGTTCACTGTCCGCAGAAGTCCAGAATTTCATGTGATCGGCATAGGCAAACTTGTTTCCTGTTGGAAACAGATGAGCAAATTCTAATGGTCTTTATTTCGACTAGCAAAGTATTCTGAAATGAGATACGCCACTTTAAATATACAGGCTAAAAGACGGTATTAACTCCCAAGTCCGACTTTCTATTAACCTCGGCATTGATTGAACATATCTTTCTATTTCTGTTCAGCAAGCACGAGGTGCTATTTTATTTCTTTATTTACGCACAAGCTGGGGCACATTACGCTTCCATGTGAATTCTGTGCGGTCGGTCTTCACGCGATATACTCAGTGGAAGACTCATAGAAAGCGGTGAGTGTGCAGAGCTATGCTAAATGTGATTGAAATCTTGGTTTAGCGTTTTCTCTGTTTGGTTATGGCGGTGTTTGGCCGAGTGGATTGCTGTCAACTTGACCCTTCCAGGCTCTGAGGAAGGCGAAATCCGCCGAAACGTCAGCTTGTGCGTAAATAAAGAAATAAAATAGCACCTCGTGCTTGCTGAACAGAAGTAGAAAGATATAGACGGTATTAATTTCTTAACAATCTAATACTAAGGTACTTCAAGCTTGCGTTCCCTAGTCTAAGAAGCCAAAAGTTCTTTAAAAAACGGGAATAAATCGATAGAAGGACTGAAAATGGACCACCAAAAGAGACAAACTGCTGTGTTCTCAACTTACCACATGATGTGAAGTGAGCAATGAACTGAAAAGAAGTAACTAAAAGGAATCGGCAAGTCAATGGAATAGGACACGTTATGGACTTCTAGTAGTAGTCAGTGATATTGAAAGCGTTAAAAAAGAAATATCCACGACGAAATTTCGGTTATTAGGCAAGACGGAAGATGACACAAGAAACGAAACGGGGGGGGGGGGGTCATACGTGGTCAATACTTTCTAATAATTAACTCTAGCAGTACAGCAACACGCCTATACAAGGTGTGACTGAAAACGAAAACGTTCATATAACCACAATGATGCTGAGATATTTGTAAAACCCCGGACCTCAAGCATCTGCAGCGGGAACGAACGCGTTGTTACCCTTCCCGGGAGATAACGCGTTCACCACCACACCATGCGGGCCCGTCGTTTCGCCTGTCGCTCAACTAGTTTTCTACCTTAACCTTTGTTTCTTTCTGCCGTGAAGAACTGTAAAAGGCAGTAAACAAAAGGTTAACAAAGTTAGTATGACTCATACAGGAGACCCCCTTCGAAGCACATCTTTTTTAGTTTTAGAGTTTTAATATCTTCAATATTTAAAACACATGTTTTCAAGGTGCAAAATAAATGGTATAAATGCTATGGGCGAAAATCAGATATGAACATTAGCTCGGTGAAGACTCAGAGTTTTGGTAGCACTACTACAAGCTAAACTTTCTTCCCGTTCCTCTCGACTAAACCCAAAACAACGGTGAGCAATGCGTATCGTCGTTAAATACGGAAATACTTTGACAAAACCTCCTACTAAGATAAGGAAAGCCATACATCACTAACCGTAACACCTCTAATTACATCATTCACTGAGAAATCGACTGAACAGTAGTAAACGCTGCACTCTTCTGAATTGCGCGTCCCAGACCTGGGTTGGCAGCCTTGGCACGCCCAAGGAACACGAAAAGTGTCACACTTCCATTCATATAATGATGAGCATTAATTTTTGTTGTTTTTGGCTTGAGTGCAAACATGCTTCATGGAGGATGAATGCCGTTTCCTTTCGATCGCACTTCGACACTCAATAACAACTTCGCAGCCATCGTTGAACAGCAAACCACTGGGATGGGGTACAAACAAACAAGATACGTCCTTTTTCGGAATGCTGTTCCTTCTAGGATGGTATAAAATAAAATCCAGATAATAGTGAAAACGAAACCGTTTTATTACCCATTTACTTAGGAGGTCAAACGACCTGCATTGAAAATATCGATAAGGGCTTGTATCACGTTCAGCATGAAGAAGCTATGACACGACAAGCGGGAACTCCATTTCCATGACAACTACACGTTGCAGTACTTTGTTCGCTGAGAAATACGCGAACTTTGTGTGAAAACAACAATTCGATGGAAACACCACGTAAGCGATCTAATGCTAAGCAAATATGTGCACATGGATCATTGCTTCCAATCGTAGGATAAAATGTAGTTCGGCGATAAACGAATAGTTTCGAGTCGTTCAGTGACAAAGAGGGACAAGTACGAAGACTACAAGAGAACTGCCTGAAAAGTACGAACAATGTCTGCACGTTCCTCAGCAGTAAAGAGTGCAATAATACAAACAAAAACTCAACCTAAAACAACCGGACGAATATGCTAACGGAAACTGTAGCCGTTAAACACTGCGGGAGTAGACTGAAGGCACACCCAGAAGGCAACGTGGATGTGATGCCAAAACGGAAACCCTTTGGCGGACACGCACGATAAATAGAGTTGTCGAGGCACGGCATCACACAAGCGCTGGTCGGCCGCTGCTGGATATCGATCGTTAGCAGCGTCGTCATGTGAGCCTGCACAGCCGCACTGAAAACAGCGCCACACGCACGAGCAGACGGCCGGAGTTGGCCTTCTTGGGGATGTCGCTGACTGGGCATTCCGTCACTCAACAGAATCGCCCTCCGGACATCACATGGACTCAAGACGCAGAGTTCATAGAAAACGGAAATAACATAGAAAGTAATTCCAACTACTAGAAGTGTTATGGATAGAAGTCTGGAAACACATATGTACTATTTCAAACGATAATCTTTCAGCCCTACACGAGAAAGGCTGGTCTCAAGTACAGCCGCGCTGTTGGTTTAAAATAACAGTTCCAACAACCTATAAAATATTCATTTCGATAGGTGAAGATAAGGTCAACGGATTTTTCAAGTCTATTTTTTAACGATTCTAGGTCTGCTATACTTTGTGTGGCAATAGTATAGTAGCATTAAAAAAAGGATAAAGGATAAAGTTCTTCGCGTTGATCAATCCTTGTGGGATGCGCCATGCACTCATATTGACTAAGTATGGTTGGAGGTGATCGAATGCATATCTGGCCTTTACAATGACTCGCGATAACCTACCTATGTATCGAGGCAGTGCTGCTGTCCTCCTGTACAAGTCTGGTACTAATCTGCCGACACTGGAGGGATGGAAGACTTAGTGAACCAAGGACGCGGAGGTCGATTCCATGTGTGTGCCGCAGTGGCGCCTCCAACCACTGCGCCAAACGCGCACTTAGACAAGGATACTGTACATCGAACTACGAATATTTAAAACTTCCAATTGTATGATAAATTTACCATACAGCAGATGCTGCAGTAAGCATTAAAACTGTTAGAATTAAGTTTCGAGTTAGATTCTCCACGTCCACAATTCCTCTCTCTCCAACTAAACTTCATGTTCTATTCAAAGCATAGACTATCAGCATGTCCTATTCGTAAATATAGCTTTCTCATCAATAAAGAAATCTATCAATAACTATGGATTTTGCATCGGGAAAAAAAATGGTCACATCCTATGAGTCCGATTCACTCAAGCCGCACCTCGACGTCGCCATACCGTCCATTCCTCCAAAGTTAGTAGAGCGCTGGTAGTGGACTTGTCAGGAACGATAAAAACACGGACTTAGTAACTCCAACGGATAGCCACCGCAAGTGACTGTATAGACCACATACGCATTCAATCACTCCAGCGGTGCTTGATGAAATCGAATACGTGACACATCCATCAGAGTTTGATCAACGCAGAGAACTTTATCTTCTTAGACTTTTATCCTTTACATGCACTTGTTTACTTGTCTGAAAATAAAGAGTAGAGCCCTAGTGGCTATTAACGAGCACTCTTTCGCTAGTTTTTGAAAACGTTTTCAACTCAAGGATAAAATGCTCTTCGACTAATGATATTTTAATACGTTGCTATTTAACGTGCTGAATTACTAATTACAATATAATTTACCCTTTACCTTTATGGTTGTTAAGCACCATTATCAATCCTCTAATTATTCCCAATTAAGAGGGTTCTTAGATTCATTCATTGGTAAAGTGGTGTCAATAAACATTAGCAATTTGATGTAAATTTATTAGATTAAATAGTACTGATTAATTACTGACTAATATCTACCATGTCTAGACTTGCACAGATTCTTTCGAACAATGGATCACTAAAAATGTAATTTGTCCAATTTTAGGCTTGGAAATAACAAAGAACTGAAGGATCATGTGTCTTTGTCATGTGTTAATAAAATAGTATTTTAATATCAGTATTTCTCTAACAGAGGAATGGAGCGTAAATAATACCTGTTCTACCAATGCGATGTGTATAGTCCTCAATTGATTTGGCCATGTCGTAATTGAGTACCAACGAGACATCCTTTATATCAATACCTGTTGGAAAATATCGCATAGCTACACAAATATTAAGGCAAAAAGTACAGAAGCCTGCACTTTAAGCAGTAGTTTGTCAAAATGTAAAATATTTATTATAAAATTAATTTTACAAAAAATACCTCTTCCGGCAACATCAGTTGCAACAAGAATATCCTTAGTTTTGTCTTTCAGTGCTTGTAGTGCATACTCTCTTGTCTCCTGACCCTTACCACCATGAAGAACAACAGGGTTAAAGTTTAACTTGCTAAGACCCTTTGCTAGGAGATCGGCACCCTAAGAATGGTACAGATAAGATCGGTTTTTTAACTATTATATTTTTCACCGCTTTTCACCACAAAACCTAGAAATATATTTCTTAGCAATTACTTCTTGCTTGTATTACTGATGCACACAACTTTAAGCCTTGCTTGCTCAGCAATTTATCAAGAAATCTTTTTCCCAAAACCTAGTTTACAACAACTTTATACTGGTTTAAATAACGCTGCCAATGCATCATAAACGCATAGCCTTTATTAGGAGTTAAAACCAGAGAATGAAGCAACAAATTGAAATGCTACCAAAACACAGGATAGGGAAAGGTTCCCATTGCATAAAGCAGAAACGGTTTTTAGGTTTTCCTAATGGAGAGATCGGCCATTATGATGAAGAAAGTCGTGGGTACTTAACAGTAGTCGACGATCATCACCTATACAGGACAGTCTAAGTTCCCCTTAAAAAAGTACTTTTGGAGTTGTAGAAAAACTTGACATTCGCCAGAATCGTTGATCACTTGAAAGATAGTGAAAAAATGGAAAATCTCAATAAACGGACTCCATACGAATTGAACAAATGGAAGCGAAACCGTGGTCATCACAAAGTCTGCTTAGGGTTTCATCCCCACAAGATAAGCGATTTATTTCTCGTCAGCAGTGATGAAACCTGGATGTTGTACAACAAATGACTAAGTTCAGCTATTTGATTGAACTCAAATCAACCATTCAAGTACGTTACAAGCCTAAATTTGAATCGAACGTTGGCTACAACTTTTTCATTTTCGGCGTAGAAAATCATGTAGTACAATATCTCGAATTCTGATAAACCGATCACAACAGAGGAATAATGCCACTAAATCGATCAAGTCGTGGGGTCCGATCCTCTTGTTCGACTGTCTACCAAACGCTGCACAACTAGTACTACACAATTGCAATGAACGGGATTATGAACGTTATTCTCACCCAACATACTCATTGGACCTATCGAGAAATACCGTTGACGAATTCGTGACTACCACTTAGAATGTTGAGGAAAATTTGTCGCTTCTAACGGTTTCTTTAAAATTTATCTATATAGTTATGCTAGGTCCCAATTATAACGATCTAACACATAGTGCGGCAAACTGGTATTTCACTAAGTGACGACAATTTTCCGATTTCTGAAGCATTTGGACGTTGACCTGATGTATCGAAGACTTCACTCCATAGACCCAACTGTTTATAAAAACTTTATACGGAATTCTTCCAAATTTGGAAATATTTCGAATTTTTAAAATAAAGAAAAATTGATGGAATTCAAGTTTTCAAAACCGTGCAACACTAGCTGCTGCCGACACAAAAACTACGTTGAAGAATGCCATTATGTCTTGGTGCATTAAGATGGTCCTGATCGTTTTCTTTCGTGTTCGAAACATGAGCTGGAAGTAATATACGCCATGAGCACCAGAAAATCATAATTTCATCAGCGCAAAATAAGATAACCTGTACCTTTTAGGTACGGACCTGTAGATTCAATAGGTTTCTGTTACATACTTGGACACTTGGACGTTCCGTCCTCATTGGCTGTGCGAGCCCCAGCATATTTTCCATTTTTCAGAGTTTTGCTGGCTTGACCTTTGTGTTCACCTGCAGTGCCGAGGTAAACCTGACTAAAGTCTGCCAAAGTCGTCACCACCACACGCAGTCGCCGCCTTTGTCGATCACAGGGAGACTTGCCACCATGCGACTAGTTTGATACGACGGTGGTGTATCCTTGTACTGGCTTACTCTTAGCTAGGCCTCATGATGGAAATGCCGGATTCCTCAAGTTGGGAGACCTTGCCTAGGGAATAAATCTCCCCAACCCAACACCCAAGAACACCTCCCAGCCACGATGAGGCGGTAAATCGTTGGGAGGATTTTTGTTATAGGTAGTAAAACATAATATAATCTGGGATATGTTGATCTAAAACTCAAAATGCCATTATTTTCACATAAGCTACACTGTGTACAACGGTGCTGGAGCGTTCTGTTAAAATTCACAGTCCCAAACTGCGAGTACTTTTGCATCAAACTAGTAGAAGGAAAAGAGATATAAACAAAGGGACCAGTATGTAACTTGTAGTTGCAGACAGCAGCAATGAAAATTACTACAAAGTAAAAAAGTAGAACATAGTACCTTTTTCTGGTTAACAAATATGATTATAGGTGGTTCAAAATGCTCTTCCAAAACTTCGACCAGCTTTTTCTTCTTTTTATCCTCCGACAACATGTATACAATCTGAATGATATACATTTAATCTACAAATACTAGGTGTAAAAAACTTAACTGTACTAAAAGCTGACGAGAAACAGTGGAAGAGAGCTACCTGTTCAACCCTCTCTGTAGGTCTACCGGCAGAACCAATATGAACTACAGCAGGGCGCCGTAAATACGCTCGAGCTAACCGCTCTATCGCTGGTGACATGGTTGCAGTGAACATTACTGTCTAAATATAAGCAAAAATTCAACAAAAATTGAAAAGTATTGCAAAACAGTACAGTCACTGTCTGATACTTAAACTCTAGAAATAACACTCAGGTTCACAAAAAAAAGACCTGTCGATACTTTTCCCGGGTAGCAAAGTTGTTCATTAAAGCTTCTTCATGTTCAATGTCATCAGTATCAGGTTTTTGATTGGAAACAGGCAGATAGCTTAACACCTAAATGTCACAATCGATTCGGATAGTTGTGCATGATAGAATTAAACTATTAGGCCGAAGAAGAAATTACTTAGATTTAAGAGGTCTACAAAAACTCGACACGCAATATAGTTCTCAGTAACGGAGTCGGATTTGCCAATGAGCCTTTAATAATAACATAAACTACGTAATAAACCAGTAGGTGGCAAAGTATAGCACATGTGGTAAGAGTATATAGCCGAAAATTTCATCTAATTAGTCATTGCATATGTAAGTACCTTTTGAACCTCTGGCTCGAAACCCATATCAAGCATCCGATCAGCTTCGTCAAGAATGACGTACGAACACTGGTTGAGCAGAAGGTATCGGTTTTCTAAGACATCGAGAAGACGTCCTGGTGTGGCAATAACCACCTGAAAAAGAATCTTTCCACTTGAATACAACGTAGAAGTAACTCGCTGTGAGTGTTCGTATTTAAAATGACTTCTCTAATTCGCTAAACACCGAATTCGTTCAATGGAAATACCACGAAGGAGGTCGACCAAATCATTATAAACAGACAAAGAAGACAAGCCAACCACTATTCGTAAATAGGAATGACCTTAGGAGCACAAATCAATATGTGATCCAATTAAGCTATTTCAGCAAGAAAGCACTGGTAAGGGTAATTTCGAAACCCATCTGAGGGTCCGAGTTTTCTTCACATCCCTGCATCTTTGTAGTATACAAAAGTTTGTTTAAACTTCTTCAATATAGCCAAAAACAAGATAAAAATTGCGCTTTTTAAAAAGAAGATTGCAAAACTGCAATTCTCTTGAAGAAAAACTACAAAGAATTTTTTCACGGGTAGCTGAAAACCTGCAATATATCTAACAATATACTGCGTGGAAAACTAATGATGAAGCATATTCCGTCGACCGTCGCGAATGAACCTTGTACAAGTATAACAAAAATACCCTGGCATCCTCACCAGAAACATTTTTTGTGGTAGGGTAGATCAAACAGGGAGGCCGTGGTTGGACCCAATAAGTCGAACTAACTGGCTCTTACTTCTACCTAAATTACAGTGCGTAGAAAATACGCTCTCTACTTAATGCTAGTATATTTAAGGTGGCTAAGCTATTGACACAACACAAAGATATCGTATAAAATGACTATGACACAAATAAAAAAATATGCACCAATTTTTATCTTCTGAGGTTAATTAAAGGGTTTAGCTGAGTAGACTGCATGAAAACGTTACTCTTCTAGGTTCTGAGGGAAATGAAACCACAGAAATCTATGCTATTGTGGATATGGAATAAGGGTTTTAATAAACCTGTGTTTGCTCATCAAGAAAACTGCGTTGGTTACTGAAACAAAACAATACGCTTGAAAATTTCTGATGCATGAAACAAAACGGGTGCAAGCCGCCCGCAAGAACTGTAAAGCTATGGAAAAAGTACACGTCGAGTTCACAACGAGACTATCAAGACGTTGCTGAGTAGCACACTTATGTTTTGTTGTTTATATTTCATAAGATAGATGGCCAATTGCTTGAACCAATTTTTGTACCGAAAATCTCTTAAACGGATGTTAAAGATAAGCAAATCATTGCCACAACAAAAATATTGTAACCTGTAGCACTCAATCCAATCAACATTCACCTACTGGTCGAGCAAGCACAAGTAAAATCATCGTCTCTGTCGCGCGACAGAGATGCCCACTAAACTCGCTCGAGAGACACGAACAACAACAACACAGGCATAAGACCATTCAGTTATATTCCTTTGCTCCCGTTTTTTCAATCTCGAACGTATTGTGACGTGTGAGGGGAAATAGATACTCTATGAAGTTCGGCGACGATTGGATCAATGATTCAATCGAGGCGGAGCTTCGCAGTGCTTCAAAAATGCGAACTTTTATCGACAAAGCTATTTCTGTTCTTTAGCTACCTTTTTAGCCTTACTGTTACCATTCGTTGCTCCCTCTCACACATCCGTCCACCTGCGTTTTCTTCTCAATGACACAAATATTTCGGTAGAACTGATTTTGTGAAAAACGCCTTCTCATTCTACTTTTGCAGCTGCCATTAGTCTGTTACTTGTCACTTCGAAATATATTTTGCAAGACAAATGACGTTCCGATAGTGTACTCACATAACCACTTCATACTGTTTCTCCCTATATATGATTCTTCTTGCTAAAAAAAGATCACTGGGCTGGTCAGCACATTTATGATTGTGCTAGTTTTTCGACATCTGATAATTTCTCGATTAATAGCATAATTGAGTAGTTGTGAAATTTACAAACTTACAGAAGTTCTTCCCCAACTCTGAAGACGAAGAAGACATCGAAACTTTAACCGAATAAAGTTTCCTAACAACCTTATGCTAAATAGCTTAATAATTCAACAAGGTATTGACTAACCATGCCGAGGTTAAATGACGGTCTGTTTGGGAAATATTAATTCGCTATATGGTAGTTTATATAATACCGACCACTGTTAAAAATCATATTAGACGACAGCAACAGATTAACATCTGCCCTGTGTAAAAGAATGAGTAAACATATTTCATTTGAGCGGCACTTTACTCCGTAGGATTCGAGTCGATGCAACAAAAATGTCATATTGGGGGGTCTAACGACTGTGGACCATCGACTCGAATAAATCAGCGCTCTGAAGAAGACGAAAACGTTGAAACGTTTCCTGAATAATATTTTGAGCACCCTAACTTTAGCTTAATAACGCAACAAAGTATTACATCAGAAGCTTAATTAGTTTAATAAACCTTTGCTCTACTGCTCCAAGGGTATGTATGGTTCTCATAAAGTATTGTTTCAATTTGGAATTTTTCTCTTAAACTGAAAATTTTCGAAAAAACTAAGAAAAGCATTAATAGTACATTAATAGCACTAATGCATCCCATTGGAAAAAACCCGCCTAAATGCAATGGAAGAGAATTGCTTTGATGCTTAAGATAGAAACATCTTTTAAAAAGTGAAAATAATTAGTTCTGTAGGATCGAGAAAAGTAGAAATTAATCACGGTAGAAAAGTAAAACTTCTACATGGTTGTCAAACTGCCAAAAGTTTTCAGATTTAGCAGTTTTCTTTTCAACAAAGTTAAGCGAAGTAGAACACGTTGGTGTAAAGTTGAAAAATAAGACTGCTTCCCCATACGAATCGTACATATTTGCTGCAAATATTTAGTAGACTCCACTTGATTATTCGAAGCCAGTCCACGTCAAAATAAGTAAGCTTATAAGGGAAAAAATGGATTTCTTATACAGAATACGGTGAGGAAACGTACTTCAACTCCCATACGGAGTTTCATTCCTTGGTCTTCACGTGATGCACCTCCTATAACAGATACAGTCCGTATCTTCAGCAGCTCACCAAATTTATTAGTTTCTTCTTCAATCTAAATTCACTAACAAAAAACAATAAGATACACTGAAATAATACAAAGAAAAAATTGCGTAATAAAACAGCAAACAACAAAAAAACATAGTAAGAACAGCCCACTTGTTGAGCCAGCTCCCTGGTCGGGGCAAGAATGACAGCATATGGTCCTTGATCATAATGTTCCTGACGTTCAAGTTTTGGCAAACCAGTTATCCATACCTTAATGAAGACAATATCAATGCGCGCATATACCACATCAACAGTTTTTAAAAAAACGTGTATTGACGAAAATAGAAACTGATATTTCAAAAACATGACAGCAGCAAAATGAGACAAATCGGACAACGAACCAACAATGGAATCAAAAATGCTGCCGTTTTACCAGAACCTGTTTCGGCCACTCCAATCACATCCCGATTCTGTAGACCAATAGGTATTGCCTGCCTTTGAATTGGAGTAGGCTCAGAGTAACCGACCTAAGAAAACACACTGAAATATAACTGCATCAGGAAGAAGAAGCAACACCACAACTTGCCTTTTGAATGGCCTGATAAACCTCGTCAGGAAGACCGCATTCTTCCCAAGCACGCAGTGGTTTGGGTACACGACCACCCTATAAATCTACAGAGATTGGTAACAAAGGAAATATCATTTTTAATAAAAGCGCATAGATATTCCTACCTTAATCGAAATATTAAAGTCTTCACGAAAAATACGCCAGTCTCGTTCGGTCATCTCCTCAAGTGGCTTCATTTTCCAATGGCGGTCATCGTGTGCAGACTTTCGTTCTCTTACTTTTTCCTTCTCAAGTCTGAATGCGAAATTCGCATTTAAGTCAATAGGATACCGAAGACTGAATGATCGGCCATTATACCTCGCCTTCTCCATTAATTTTTCCTCTTCAGTCCGCCTTTTCTCCATAATAGCCTGATAGAAAACATTGTTATTCTTCTTCTGTGTGTTCAAATCGATTCCTGCTATTGCCCCACGTCCGAAGAATTGCACCTAATTGGTTAAAGGTGCGTTTAAGACGTCGATTTCACAATTAAAGGGATGTATAAGTTATTCCAACCTCATGTCTCTTCTGATATAGTTTATTGTAATCTTGTGATGTGTCTTCCGATGCGTCCCAATCGAATACAAATTTGCGCTCATGCAGCCGTCGTCCTCGTTTTTTCTTTTCTTTCTGCATACCCAAATAGCGCACCTTCACAGCCTCTTGTAACTTATTCGCATCAAAAGTGTCGTCATTTATCTGAAACAACATGATTATTCTCGTCTCCAGCTGTACGCGAAACTGGCAATGTAACTGACAAATTAGAAAAATCAGGAAAAAATAAAATAGTGAGAAGTAAGTGAAAATCCCAGCACTCGATTCGTTTTCTCGCGTTCGTCATCCACGATGATCTTCGAAAAATTCACTCGTTGTTTCTGCTTGAGGATTCCGTCTTCTTTTATGAATGTCGTAGAATGCTAGTCAAGTCGTTTCTCACTGCAGCGTTGTGGATAACCGTGCTAAGACGTTCCCACGTGGATTTCACCAGTTTTTCAAGGTAACCAAACTAGCCCATTTGCCTCCTGATCGACGGCATCACTAACCATTTCGGATACACCATGCCCTCTAGCAACACTGTATAAATATAATAAGTAATATGCAATTCATTTATTTGTTAACAGTACTGAATAGTTAGCAGTTAGTGAATTTATTAAAATCAGAAATTAGAGATTATGATTTCAACCAGTAGCTTCAGTCTATCTAGGTTCAATGACGACTCGTGTTCCCTAGATCATTCCCGTTGACGGATGATTGCTGACAGAACCGATAGAGTACAAACATGGCTGAGATAAACGTAAATCAAGGGTAACGGTTGGAGTGGTAGACAGCATATGAGCCCCCGGGAACAGTAATCGCGGATTCGAAGCCCAGTCGAGGCTACGAGATTTGCTCATACCTCAGCATTTTTGTGGGCGCATTTTGATATCTCGCACGAAAAAAAAGATAGGCAGCAAATAAAAGTTAAGACATTAAAACTAAGAAAGTTTTCCAGACTTATATCTTCATGATGGAATGATCCATATATGCAACACCAGTGAAGGAGGGATACTTCAGTCGGCATGGGCCATGTATAACTAATTTTCTCTGTTTCCTTCTTTGGTTCTGGAGAGACAAGAGAATGATTGCAAAAGGCGGTGCAAAAATCTCAACAGAAGAGAATTATGGAGAAAACAGCATTGCAAGGAAATCATAAGTGCTGACAAACAAGAAATTCTGTAGCATTCATATAACCACACAAAAATTAATAGCTTTAATTTTTCCATTCCAGACCTTGCGACTTCTTTTAAAATGAGGTTTTACGCATTTGAAATCGTAGAAATGGGTATGAAAAGCGGAATGGTAGCCCGTATACTACGATAACGTCGACGGGTCGATCCCGCTGCATGGACAAACTAAGCTGGTTATAACTCTGGATTGACAAGTTGGTAGTAATTTGGGCTGAATAAAGAAATAATAAAGGTAGTGATGAAAGAATAAAAAAGCCGAATTGACACAACAGTAAGCACTCACAAGCCACTGTATGCGTCAAAGATGCGTGTAATCAAGTGTGCCACGTTTATAAAGTGTTATCTAAGTCGTATTCCTCAAGGATTGGAAGACAAACGGTTTATATTATGCTCTCCAAAACTTATGTCCGATTTCAGCCAGTATTTTCAATGTCGCATATCTCAGCTTTGAATAAACTTTATTAACCGATACTGGAAGCATTAGAATCTAACCACTTTCCAAAAAAAAACAAGTTCACCTTTAGCAATAATTCTGCACTTGTGCAGGCTATGAAGTCGTGCAAAGCAGTTTTAAATTAGGCCTAGTTTTTGTCAAGCATTTCTCGCAGGGGAAGATGTCGAGGTGTTTGGAGAAGTGGTAGCCGGAAGACGAGAGATCTGGCCAGCATGGTCGATGAGGAAATTTCGCAGCTCACGTCGTTCAACTTTACCAGCGTCAGAACTCGTTACTTTCTGCTGACCAGTGCGGTGTACGACCATTACTGTTTCTGGTGTATTACGCCAATTCGTTGGACGTACTTCGCCGTAATTGTTTCGCCCTGATTCAGAAGGCTTTGAAAGATGAAGCCACCAGCAAAACAGTCAGTATGGCACTCTTTCGATGAAAATTCAGCTTTGTGAAGCGCTGCGAGGCTTCCCTCTGTCCCAACCATTGAGCCAATCGTCGCCGATCATCATAGAGGTTTAATTTCCCGTCACACGCCACTTTTCGCTAGCTCGGACAAACATGAAACACTTGGCTGATTGTTGGACCAAATTTACGTACAGATGAAGTTATGATGCATCGCTATCATTAGATAGATAGATAGCCACAATTTCTTTAAATCCTATAGAAACAACCAAAGACTGGTATGCTAGCACTGGCTTAAATGTTTAGACAGTTACGCACGATTAGAAAACCTGAACCAAAACCGTTGCTGATATCGTTTTGAAAAAAATAGTGGGACTCAGCAGTTTAAAATATCACCACGGTGGAACAAATGAAGTGGAACCACTCCAGATTTTCAATGTTTATTTAGAATGATAAAGCTTACCCTATCTCAAGATCTTTCAATCTTTACAGAATTAAGAACTGATATCTTTTTATACTTCCTACTTCTGTAAGGTTTCATAGCCATATGTTCTATCTGTTCATACTTTTCAGGTTGGCAAATTCAAAACTAACCAACTAAAAGTGTATTATGTTTAACTTTTTATTTACTACGTATTAATATTTCTCACGCTAGCGTATAATGTGAAATACAACCACCGTGAGGCTGAGATATTTACAAAACTTTGACAACAGACTTTCCGGGGGCTCACGTGTTATCCATTGCACCATTGAGGCTCCTGCTTCACTTGTCGTGGAAAAATAACAAGGAACAGTGAAGACTAAGCACTGTGATTTCGACTACAACCTCAGCTTAACTGGTTATAATGCCAATTTGTGTTCCACAGACCATTCTCGTTGACGGGTGATTGCTGATGACACCGGTATGTGTAACACTGGATGAAAGAAAGGCACAACAAGAGCTACAGTGGTAGAGTGGTTAACATGTGAGTCTCTGAAAAGCGTGATCGCGAGTTTTAATTTGGCCTGGTGTCCATGTTTGTAAATATTCAGCTGTAAAGGTGTATGCACTCATATCTAACAATCAGTCTAAGCTTATAGATTCACAATGGAATATGGCGACATCTCGTCAATAGCTTGTCTAAGTAATCTCTCTCACCTTGTTTTCAGTACGAATAGACCGACCATCCCGATCCCGCTCCCGTCTTTCCTTACTTCTGCTTCGATCTCTGCGATCCCTTTCTTTGCTCTTGCTTCTTGCTCGCCTGTCTCGATCTCTATCCTTTTCCCTACTACGACTTCTCTCACGTTTCTCTCTACGTTCTCGCGAACGACTTCGCTCCCTCCGGTCTCTACTACGATCACGACTTCTTTCGTGGTCTCTATCTCTATCACGACCATCTGAATAATAATACAACATCATGAAAACGTTACCTCTTAATCGTAGAATATTGGCACTCTAGACTAATTCAAATTACGCACCATATTTCTTCGCCTCCGCTTCGAATTGCCTGCGACTTTCCTCAATACGTCGCTGGTTTTCTTTCATTTTTTCTATCTGTTCCACTCTTCGCTGGAGAGCAAGAGCTGCACGTTCCTCTCTAGAGAGGAATCTCGGCTAAAACAAAGCAAACCTGAAGGGAAGCACTGGCAGTTCACGCATTCCCACTCCATTAGTTCGTTCCATCATAAAGCATGAATGCCGTCATAGACCATCAAAAAACGACACACACCTACACTCCATAAAAACTTTGCTTCTACATGGATCAATCGTCCTTTTAGGAAGAAAAGCTATAAGTAATGCCGCCTCCGGAGTTTGCAATCAATTCCACCCACCTACCACCTCATGATCTTATGACAACAGCATCCCATATGCAAAAACTGATGGCCATTACCAAACCACATAAACACACTAACCTTTTCCTGCTCTTCTTCCTCTTTCCTTTTCTTCGCTAAAATATCCTCTAAGGACGGAGGTTCAGTCATGTCTATTAGAACAGATAACTTTTCTCTCTGCGAAAAAATAATTTTAAAAAACGTTCTTAATTAATGAACGTGCAAAGAAAGAACGGTTGGAAGACTATAGGTCCTATTCGAAATTTAAAAGCAAGGAATGTAAGTGTTTATTAAACATAAAAAACGAGAAAAAGAAACAACGAAAAGCGCCGAAAAGGATATATGCGGACAGCACACCGAAATATCGACGACTGAAGAGATGATCATTTGAAAAAGAAAATTGCTCACTAGAGATGGCAAAAAATAAACAAATATGAGGAAAACCAACAGAAACAAAAGAGAATGTTTAAACTCTTGCTTCAATCTTGCTGCGTCGTCTTCAGATTAGTCATTCCGGCACGCATTACCTCATCGACAAGCAAAAGATTACAGGCGATCACGCACGACGATGAAAGACTATTCTTCTTCACAACAACGTTGTCCCAGACGCCCTAAAATAATTTTTCACTAAACAACCTTCTACTGATTTTAAACAAGTATCATCAAATAACGGTTCAGTTATATCTACCTTGTATGTAATTATACATTTTAGATGTTTAAAAGTGTACTGACCTTTGTTTGACCTTTAAATATGTTAATCAACACTTAGAATTCGACATAACACACTTGTCTTGCGGTTCTGTTCAACGCCTAAACCTTTGCCTCACTCGCTATAAGTTGAGATCAACACACATCAGTACAACTGTCCAGCCCCTCCCAACAAATGACTTCGCTCCACTTCTCACTCTATAGTCCTGGTTCTTTATATATTTTGCCAGTAACTGCCACTTTTATACACAGATACATTCAAACATGTGTGTGGTGAAGACACCTGATTACAACCCTCAACTATATGTCGGTATTTTTATATGCAATTCAATGCGATTTCCACAATCATTATAGTGATTACAAATTCAGCAAAAATCAAAACCTGACCAAAATTCACTTCTGCATTCTTAATACATTAGGAATTACGATGGCTTCTTGGTAGCATAGTGGTTAATAGGGCAGTTTATCAGGAAGCAATATCTTAGTTCAAACACGTTCCCAACGCTCTCCCTCAATCCACGTGGAAACGCCTTATCTCGGCTATCTCCAATACTGCTAGAAGAATCGTCGCAACCTGCATTCTACAACATTCATGAAGATGAAACCCTAAAGCAGCTGCAACAACAGTCGAAATGTTCAAAGGCCTTGTAGCTGCCGAACATGAGGAAAACTAATGGAATGCTAGCAGTGTTGCGCCCCGCATAATAAATATGAAGACGGGTGATGTAAATAAATAATACCCTAACCTTATCTCTTGAAGGGTGTGGATGTAGCACAGGGGTTAGTGCTGCTTTGCAATAAACATAGGTTCGACCCAGCGCCCCACGCTCAGCAAACCTTCCATCTCTCTGTGATCAGCAAATTTGTGTTGTGCCTATATATATGTTCTTACCAACTTCCCTTATTTAGCTGACGCGATTAAGGGATGATGAGTCTCCCATGGACAACACACAGGTGGTCCAATAGCACCGCTCTGCGGAAGGTGAAGTCGCCGAAACGTCAGCTATTGAACAGTGACAACAACAACAATAAGAAGATCTATACCAACCCCGCGTCAGCTATATAAGAGCAGTTCGTGAGACCATTTACACAGATATATCCATGACCATACCCAGGTCTACAGAAAGCCCATCTTTTGTGGTAAGACCGGTCTGGGAGACCCCATCCTCAGAGATTGATTAAGATCAAAAATTTCATTATTTTATCATTTATGTCTTAATTTGAAATCCCGACCCTAATGAAATGAATCGTAATTTCGAATTCTTTTTAAAGTCATGAAAAAAACATGTGTTGATAAGTTCACTGTGGCTTATACGGGGATAGTCGGGAATATGGCTAATATAAAACGGTCAAGTACGAGGTTACGGCATTCAAATTGTACACAAAATGTGACAGCGCATACACGATCATAGTGCATTCTGGTAGGAGCGTGATCAGAACTGCATAGTAATGGGGTTCAATTTCCTAGTCCAGGAAAGCAATTCTAAGCCGATAAACGATATAAAGTGCATTTCTAGCCAAGATACTAGTCGACAAAAAAACCAACTGATTAGTTCATCCAGGAGAAGCTTGAAAGGAGAACTTAAACATGTTAAATCACGAACTCAAAAATGACAACTGAAGCCCAACCAAATCAGAGTACTATAGCGTTTAATTATCTGTACTGCAGTGAAAGTAGCAGATAGAACATCAAACTCTCCTTGTATTTCTTTCTACTTCTGTTCAGTAAACATGAGGTGCTATTTTATTTCTTTATTTACGCACAAGCTGACGTTTCGGCGGATTTCGCCTTCCTCAGAGCCTGGAAAGGTCAAGTTGACAGCAATCTATTCGGCCAAACACCTCCATAACCAAACAGAGGAAATCTAAACCAAGATTTCAATCACATTGAACACAGCTTTGCACACTCACAGCTTTCTATGAGGTTTTTTGAGGTTTCTAAGTATGTCACGTAGAGACCAACCGCACAGAATTCACATGGAAGCGTAATGTGCCCCTCCCATCAGAATAACAGGTTTATATACTGTCCAATATCACGCGCGATAATGAAGCATTCCTCCCTGTGGTTCATTTTCGGATTCTTGGAACTAATCCAGAATACCTCTAGAGTTTTGCGCGCTCGTGTTCTCGATTCTTGCGCGAGGATCGTAACCTTTACTTCAAAGTCTTCTCCGTTATGTTTCTGCGTGCTATGCGTACCCAGTGGAGTACTTGGCTTACGTTTGCCGACTAGGTGTTCTTTCATACGTACTCAGAGTTGTCTACCCGTTTCGCCAACGTATTCGTCCCCGCACGCTTTACAAGAGATCAGATAGACTGTACCCGAACTCATGCAGTCACCGTCTCTACCACTGGGGCATATTATGCAATTTTGCGTTGCACATAGACGGTCGTATAGGCGGTTACGAACTAGCTGGCGCCTTAGATTACTCAGTGGTATTTCGATTATCGTTACCGAATTCTCTAGACTGGCCTTTCTTAGACAGCGTTTTATAGTTGGACTAACTTCATTTGAAATGAAGGGCAGTATAAACTGGACCTTGTTGTTGTTGGAGTTATCGTTGGGGTACCTGTGGTTTCCTCTACACCTATCTCGAGCTACGGTTTCGTAGCCATTAAAAATGGCTATTTGCCGCGCCAAATTCCGGGACTCCTCTCTCACTTGTTTTTCTGTGCACACGCTGGTAGCTGTTCGATACATGTTTCTCACAAGCGCCCTTTTCGTGTGAGAAGGATGAGAGAGGTAAAGAACTACTCTCCTAAAACTCTCCTGGAGAGGTAACTCTCCTTGTAATCTTTCTTTGATGAGCTTACACGAGGTAGATAATAGTATTAATTTTCGGCTAACGTTTCGACGTCTTCGTCTTCCTCAGAGCCGACGATCCGAGTCGATGGTCTCCTTCTTGTGATTTCCGTACTGAATACTTCACATCTCCATGATAAACTATGTAAGCATGTAGGTTCTAATCGCAATAAATTGCATGCAAAATGTGTAAATCCTATGACATATAAAGGATAAAGCTCTCGGCGTCGATCAATACCTGAGGGACGCGGCATGCATTCGATTTCATTAAGCATCGTTTGGAGGTGACTGAATTCATATCTTGCCTTTATAATGACTCGCGGTGGCCTACCGATGTATCGAGCCAGTGCTACTGACCTCCCAGGCATGTGTGGCACCAATTGCCGACTCCTGACGCATGGAAGACCTGGTGGGCCATGGGCGCGCGGATCGATTCGTGTGTTGCAGGGCGCCTCCGACCACTGCGCCAAATGCACCCTCTAGGACATATCGATAGAAAGATAAATTTGCTTAAGAACGATGTTTAAAACATCATAGAATGCTATTACTATTAGTTATATTATTAGATCTTGTAAAGAGCTGTAAAAATCTGAACTCTTTTAACGCATGCAGAAACGAATAGACTGGCGAAATGGGAAGACCATTTTACGCCCGCAAAAAGGAACACCCAGTCCGTAAACTTGAACTTAAAACAAATCCTATATTAGGCGCGTATACGACACAGATACATAATGCGGAAAATTTATAAGTAGAAGCTAACGTCCTCGCAAAAGAATCGAAAACTTCAGCACGCAAAACTCTCGAAGCATTCGAGATAAATTCCAGTAATCTGAAAATGAACCGCAGGGACGAATACTTTGTCGTCAGGCATAATTTTACACAAGATTTAAGAATGATATTTTAATATGAGAGGCACACTACGTTTTCATGTGAACTTCATGCGGTTGGTCTTCATGTGAAATACTCAGTGGAAGACACAGAAAACGAGAAGTATGCAACGAAGCTATTTACTTTTCGTTGCGATTGTAATCTTGGCTTAGTACCTCTTATGGTTACGGAGGTGTTTGGCCAGGTGAACTGCACTCAACCTGACCTTTCTAGGTTCCACCGAAACGTCAGCATTACCATCAATAAAGAATAATCGTGAATAATAACATCGTGTTTGCTCAACAAGAATGTAGCGAACTATTTCGTCAATGCCGAAGTTAATAGAAACCCGGTCTTCCGTATGTTATTAGATTTAGAAATACGATGCATTAATCTGGAAACACTATTGCACCCCTAGCTCCTTTACAAAAAAGTTTTTGATAACGCCGAGTACATAACTGTACCAGTTATATCTATATGTCTCTTCAGTAATCTAAAATCTTACGCAACAAAAATATGTCCATGGAATTGGACAAAAAATCATGGAATTGGAACGGGAATAGCGCAGTGCTTAGTGACGCCGTCGATCAGGAAGTAAAGGTGCTAGTTTGATCACCGCCCCAACTCTCTCCTCCAATACGCATGGGAACGATTTAGTCCTGCTGCTTCCAAGATTGCAAGCAGAGTTGGATCAACCAGTATTGTAAGAGATACGTAAAGAAGACGAAATTCTTCAGCAACAGTTTAAACAACATGCGAAATCACAACGTTAACTTTCCATTTACTGCCTTCTGTAGTTTTCCACGGCAGAGTATTATGTGAAATGCAACCACAATGATGCTAGGAAATTTCAAACTTGGACCCCATACCAAATTCGGCCTAAATGGGTTTAATTTTGTTCCCCAGATCATTATCGTTGAAGAATGGTTGCTGATGGCACCGTTATATAGAAAATTAGGCTCTACTTCAATGGCAGCTATCTTTCTGATTTAAACACCCTTCACCAGGAATATCTTATCACCGACGAAATAAATCCTTTGCAGGTCCTTTGCAAATTACTGAGAACGGAAAATTCTTCTTCAGGCCCGATGCCTAGCACAATCATTTGTGGGTAAACTCTCGATTGAATACAATAAGTATAGTAAAGAAGCCCCATTAGGCAGAAAATGCAACTTCAAAGAACCAATCAAATCTGATCCTATTTGTTAGAGATAAATATCCAGCACATATACTACGCTTCACTGATATTACTTTCATAATCGTATGCATATTCATACAAAAAAATGGTTCACTTGCTAGTACTGGGTTAGCAAACCTCATGACAGTTGTAGATCCACGTTAATGATGGTGGTATTCTCTAGAACAACAGATACAAGGCAATTGCTCTTTTCCTTTATCTTTTCGAAGAATGGTCTTCACGGTAGCCTTACCATATATGAAAATTTATAAAAACCAGTATAGTACATATGAGAAACGTTATCTTATATTCCACTGATTTGCAAATGAAAATGTGTAGAAGAGCTGCATTTGAACTCTAATTTTTTACAAAAATGTGTCATATTTTATTCGACTGTTTAAGTTTATAAAATAGGTCTCAAATGGATCGTGGTTAACATACCATGGGTTGCGTAGGCAAACCACTCTCGAGGTCGATTCCAACTGGGATGTCTCCTCCAGCATCTCGTTCCTCCACCATTTTCACGATAACTTCTTGGGCATCATATCCAGAGTTTATTGCCAAAGTCTTTGGAATCACCAGCAAAGCATTAGCGTAAGCCTACAACATGTAGAAATCAACATAATAGTGTAAAATAGTTCAATTATTGCTGCTTACCAAAGCACCTAATTTAGCTCGACCCTTCAAAGACTCAACTTCCTTCTTTAACATACAATATGCTGCGATCTCGAAAGCGCCTGCTCCAGGAAGGACGGCCTCTGAAACATCATTCTAAGATTCGCTTAACACGACGCACAGGAATAAGTGCCACTCGCGTTACCTGTACATATATCTCCATAAAAAAGCTTACTATCTGTAATCGTGTTAAATACAGCCCTTAATCCGTCATGCAATGCATCTTTTATCTGTTGAATGGTGTGTTTGTTGGGCCCCTTGATCAGAAGCGTAACTGATTTAGGATCGCGGCAGTTTTCAATGAATGTATACTTTTCTTCACCCTGGAATTTGTTTAATGTCAGCACAAAGAACGGAATGTTGTAAACATATTCTAGAAGCACACACAATAAGAGTGAGCGTGCTCTTGTAACACAGAAAACATAACACGACTCTTTAATAATTAGACCTGAGGACCTAATTGTTCTTACCGTTAAAACTTGCTCTCAAAAACATGCGAAAATGTAGAAAAGATAACAGACAAGTACTTTCTAGAAGTACGAAAACGTACTACCAACACTTCTAAAAAAGTGTACTTACCAATGTATGCTCATACACTAGCCCAGCGTAACCAAGAACATCCGGAGTGAGGTTATCGACGGAGTTTACAGCTTCCCCGCCAGTTGCCAACTGTAGCCTTTCCATGTTACGACGCTTAGCACGACGAAGGGCAAGAATCCCTTCTGCAGCAAGAAGATCCAGCGATGGAGGATCAATCCCCTAAAGATTACGGTTCAAGTAGCGAAATTTCCGCAAGTTTACACAACGAAATTAGTGCATACCTTTTGATTAATGACAACGAAGCCCTTATTGTCACCTTCGTTGCAGACCTGAAAATTGCAGATCAAAACTGAAATACTACACCTACATAAGTAAACAAGTTTTAACGGAAAACCTTCTTCTTTAACTCGATAATCTTGAGAACTCTTCGCGTTATGAACTCTCTTTCCGCCGCAAGTAGTTTCTCACGTTCAGATGCAGTTTTGTAGAAAAGACCGGAATTTACTTCACTGAAAGTTTTGAAGTAAAGAGAAGAAAAACAGGATTTCTCAGAAATATTTGTTCATAACCAACGTCTTTTCGTACTCCAAAGATATATTGCATGTTAGCACGAACGCATTTTCCACATGCTTGGGCATGTCAGGATGACGAGCACCATGATCAAGCACAAGTCCACTAGAATTTAAATTATTTCAGGAGTTTTGAACAACACCATAATAACCACAACGTTGCTGAGATATTTGCAAAACTCTGGACCGCAGGTGTTTATGGTGGGGAACGAACGCGCAACTGTCCTTTCCGGAGAGTAACGCGTTCACCACCACACCATGCGGGTCCTTCGTTTCGCCTGTCTCTCAGCTATTTCTATCGATCTTTTTGCCACAGCAATCACTCGTCAGCGGGATTGATCTGGGGAGCGCAAATCGGCATAGAACCCAGATAAGCTATGGCTATAGTTGAAATCACAATGTTTAACGTTTTGTTTTCTGTCTTCTACAATTTTCATAGCAGGTTACCTCCCCAGAAAGGACAATAGCGCGTTCGTTCCCCACCATAGACACCTGCGGTCTAGAGCTTTGCAAACATCTCAGCAACGTTGTGGTTGTATTTCGCTTAGTACCCTGCCGTGAAATTATAATAGGCAGAAAATAAAAAGGTATAATACCATAATAGTTACTAGCGGATTTTGTCATTACTTTTGTTCTGGAAAATCTCTTATATGAATGCTACAATCATAGAAAATCCAACGACCGAAATCCCTAAAAATTTGTTTAGTGTAAGAAACTCTTACCGCACAAGAGTTGTATCCATATCAGTTTCATGATGCATTTCCATCTTTTCTATCATGTGCAAATCAGGTTCAGCATCGCCTTGTCGAATGGCCAAAACAGCGTCAACAACACACCTTCAAAGCACTGGATAAAACGAAGAAAAGTGTTTCAGATGGCAAACTCACTCAGTAATATGATCAGCAAGTTTGTGATGAAGTTTCGTTCTTAGCGACGTTCTCGCAACTTCGATAAGCAAATTCCGGTCGATTGTTACCTATTAAATAGGATGTCAGTGTAAAGGAACATAATACTGATAGAAATAGGGTACAACCTCCTGCTTAAATTTGTCAAGCAGTTGAAGTGTGCGAGCGTTAGCCCATTCGAATCCCTCGGTGATGAGACGCGGATGTACACCCTTAGAACGTACTTATCATATACAAGAGAAGACAATTTACCTGCTAGAATCTTACCTCAAGTACGTATATTTCCGCTTGCTTCAATAATTCACCAATTAGAAGAACCATGGAGGTTGTCCCATCTCCAGTAATATCGTCTTGTGCTGTCGAAGCTTTAGCAATTAGCGACGCAGTTGGATGTTGAATTGACTAAATCGAATGTGAACCTATGCACCTTCAAGTAGAAAAATAAGTTTAAAAACAAATCCTCATCAAATATTACCATCTAAGTTCTAAAATGATTACTTACCATCTCATGCAAAAGAATGTTGCCATCCTTTGTAAGCTTGATATCACCTGCCCCAGACACGAGCCTAAATTAAAAGTCAAAGTGCTTCGACACTAAAAAAGCGGGTATTAAATTATACAAGGATAAACCACTCCATCAAGCATTCCATACATCTTCAGAGTGCCCTTAGGGCCAAGATTCGACCGCATCACCTCCTGCAAACCCCTTGCACCACTAATGTTGAGCTCCAATGCAGCTGCATGTCTGGCAAGTTCTGCCTTGGGGTTGAGACATTGGATTGAAGCCATTCTATTGGGTAACTAAAACTGGATACTGATTAACATATCTATTTCTCTGACTCAACATTTATGAGCGCCGTGAAACGGTGTGGTAATAACTGATTTAGAAACATCATCTATGACGACTCACACAGTTACAGCAAGGTCCTGCATTGTAGTTGCAAATAAGACAAAGAACTAATTAGGAAGAGTTTACTACTTATCACACGACTTATAAACGCCAACCCCAAAAAAAGAAAAATTATGCTCATGATGTTCGTTTGGGAATTAGGACAGCAAATGGCTTTCAGTAGTTCTTAAACGTAAGCTGCACTCTTCAAGACACTAAAAGATACACAAAGTTTAATACCTGAAACAGCCTAAAATAATCAGCTGCACTCTTAGAACCTATGCAAACGAGATGAGTGCTGCTCCCGTCCAGAAAACGGAAGCATAGCCACAATATCCTTCGGGCCTTCACAAAACTACAGGTTTACCATAAACACAGAGATCGTTACTAATTAGAATTACTAAGGAAACAAATGCGATGGCGTCCACTGCATTTGCAAAAGTTGACAATCTCGAATAATCTAATTAAAGGGCAGATGGTGTGTACGAAACAGAGGTCCTAAACGGATTCTCGACAGCCTTACGCACTATCGCAACTCGTCCAATGTACGTCCTCATCTTGCCGGCGTCGACTGATTCCGTTCCAGTTCTACCTCGAGAATGTCCGCTTGTGCTTAGATCTTTGCTGTCGTCTTTTACTTCCAGTTGGCCTCTCAGTGAATAGCTGTGATGTCCATCCTCCACCATACTTAAAAAGAACTCTGAAAGAAGAAAAAGGAGCATACCGTGTGTCTGTGTTCCGCATTTTACGAATATTACCTATTAATCTGGCCCGAGGTCCACGTTTTGCGAATATCTCAGCATCATTGTTACTTATTAAATTTAGGGGTCAGCATGCATGTTTACCATTAACTTATTAGGTCATTATTCCATTAGTGATAGTCGAAGATAGCGCAAACTGCTTATACAGATGATGCTGAAGTAATTTAAACTGAATTCTGTACTCCCAAAAGATTTACGTTTCACAACAAGTACTTTTTTTCGAAAGCATTATCTGTTCGTCTTAATTAACGTTAATGTTTACAATAACCTACGGAGTACTTGAATACTTGGGCTTGGACGGCCCGTCCTCACTTGTTGTGCGGGCCCCAGCATATTCTCCATTTTTCGGAGTTTTGCTGGTTTAGCCATTGTGCTTTCCTGGAGTCCCGAGATCAGCCTGGCCAAAGTCTGCTCCATGTCGTCACCACCATAGAGACTCGCCGCCCTTGTGGATCAGGGAGAGGGTTGCCACCATACGACTAATTTCAGGAGTGTGATGGATCCTGGTATTGGTTTACTCATCGCTGGGTTTCCTGGTGGGAACGCCGGACTCCTCAGCCTGGGATACCATGTCGGAGAGATAAATCCCCCGCTGCATATCGCACCCCGCAGCCCAGGAACACCTTCTAGCCACGATAAGACGGTAAACCGTTGGAAGTTTTTGGAATCCCCTCGAACCTACGCGGTCCATACTAAAAGCCGGTATCTAGTGCACAAAACTGTTTACTTTTAATTTCTGTCTGCATGTTTAAAGATAGGGATAAGATTCTAAGCAGGGAGTTTTGAGTTCCATATATCATGGACCTCCCAAAGGTTTACCGTTTCGCAGTAGCTCAGAGGTGTTCCTTAGTATTGGACTTCTGTGTACGGTGAGAGATTTATCTCTAGAATGATCTCCCGTATTGATAAATATTCCACCGTTACTATCCTGGAGCCCAGCTAAAAGTAAACCAAAACCAGGATCCACCGTTTTGCTGGAATCAGACTAGTTCCATGGTGGCAAATCTCCCTCTGATTCACAAGTGTGGTGGCTGCCTGTGCTGGTGACAACTTGATGAAGACTTGGGTAAGCAGACCTCGGGACTGCAGTGAATCACAGTAGCTCAATCAGCAAAACTCCGGCCTGAGGACCCCGCACATTGGACCCTTCCGTCTACGACGTCGAGCAATGGGAGAACCGGTGAGAGGCGATCACATCTTAGGTTGCACAGGACGTCGTTGTAAACGGACAAAATCAGTAACCCGACGACACGGCTTAGAAACTGCTTCTTGCTTTGCAGCTATAACACTAGAAGATTCTCGTCAGACGTCTATCTTTACGCTCTTCTTGAGACCACTGGTATTGGCTGCACAAATTCCATGTGGTCGACTTGCAGGAGACGAAAAAAAGGGGACTGACAAAAAAAAGGGACTAAATCATACGCCAATTAGTTGGCGAAACTCTTGTTATTCGTGGAAGGAAATTTCCGTTACGAAATGCCGGAGGCATCGGGTTTGTCGTACACTCATGTGTTTCGCATCCAATCACCTCATAGGAAATGCTCTCACCGCGCTTGACCATTCCTCACCTCCATCTTGCTCGTCAAAGGAAAGTTGATAGCATCAACTGCTATTCACCGACTTGTGCGGCTAATAAGAGTGAACTGGACTCATTGTAGCCTTTTGGAAGAAATCATCCCCGACGAAATGTCGAATAAATTACAAATTATGCTTTCTTTTTACAAGGGTATGATTTAGCCATAAGCTAGAAAGGAATATTATCGTCCAAATGAAATAAGATAATCGTTTATGACGAGGGTATTCCCGATAAAATCCTGTATTCATATAACCGGCAGTCCTAGGAAGATTCGACCGAGAACTACAAGCTGCTTGCTGAAGGACTCAAAACTTGTCACCAACTCGCCTCAGTGCTTTAAACAAGTTCGGACCGCATCTTTATTACCACTAAGTGGTTCGCAAAGAGAAGGACACTAATGTTTTGTCATACTGCAACACACCTAACACGGTTTGTAATAAATCCTATCCGTAGATCTTTGCAGGAGTATTTACATCAGTATAGGCATACAAAGTTATTGGAAGCATCTTAGAAGCGATCCGTTTGTAGAAGTGCCGTCGGGAGCTTTGAGACTATAATGTTTCGCTATCCGCCCTGAAACACGAAGATGGGACTATCACCACATCTCGTCATGATATGAAATTGGTAATGAGGAGATTTTATACCAATTCTTTGCGCTCAGCAATCCCCGTCTTGGACCCGAAATCTTCACTGGTGAAAAATACCCCGGAGTTCTACGCTCTGAAGTTTTGGTTGCGAAAGAAAGCATGGAGAGACACAGCTCCTACTCAATAATATCAGTACTGCACACTGGCTGTGATAACGAGTAATGTATACATGTATGTATGTATTTATGTGTAGTACATGCATCATTATTCGTTAATATGACCCTCATTGTGACAACTAAGCCTTCTGTTCTTCAGGAATCAGCAGGTTGGTACAGCACTTATGTCGGGATAGCTTCATCCAGTCCACTGAGTCCGGTGACTGTGGTATGGTCATTCTGCAATATCCTACGATTCCAAGGGCGTTTTTGTAAAAGAATTTTACCAAAACCCAGCGAAAGTTGTTAAAAGAGTTTTCCTAAACGAACAGGTTAACCCATGTCCAAATCCTAAGACTTTAACTTTAAAGGTAAGCAAACGAGTAGATTAAGTTCTAGTATGAGCACAACATATGTGAGTCATTCAAATAGAAAAGTTTTCGCATTAATTTCGCTCTCGTCGTTACGAATAACTACTGGCTTTTTTATTTGTTTTACAGTAAGAAACCTTTTGGTCTTTTTGAAAATTAGGTTTTTTTTGTTGGATTTTAGGCACCATTTTCCTCTCCTTATCTCTTCTCTTTGGTGTTTTTGTCGTATGAATGCTCTTTCTCGTTGTGAGGAATATTGATGTTTTCAGGTGTATGTAGAGAATAGAGGTTTTCTTGTAGTAAAAAACTATGGGTTTATTCTCATTTTTCAACAGATGTTTTCAACAAAATAGTGAATCACACTTTGTTTTTCAAAATATTTGTCTTTGGGAATAACTATGCTCATAAGTGGTTGAGGAATTTTCTGGAATTTTAGTCGTAATCATTGATGGGATCCGTATGGTTTCGTAGTACAAATTTGGCGCAAGGATTCTAGTTCTATTCTGAAAACTAGCCGCACTACGTACAGCATTTTTTGCGCTAATAGTTGCGGCAATGATTCGGATGAGTTCTGCAATATTCTAGTAATCTCCGTTGCTGTAGAATCTATGCTATCTTATATTTGTGTTTCGTTCCTGTATTTATTTTACACATAGCGTTAGTAGAGTTTAGCTTTTGACTTTTTATTCTTTTTTCTTAGGTTTTGCCGGAAAATCCGGCTTCTTTGCTATGACTACTGACATTGATGTTGTTCTGCCAAGTTTCACCAACATTGGGGAACCGACTTGCGTTCTCCCGGGTTTGTTCTATTATATCGATTACTAATTACTGTTTACTTTTTATATTTCAATTATATCTATGTCGATCTAATCTATCTACGTCGCTGAGAATAGATCTGTCTTTTTTTCTCGTTTTGCACCCAGACGAAATACCGGCTGTGGAATGATGTTCAATTTTAAATTATAAGCAGTACTTGTAAAATTTACCATAGTAGATTGATGAAATAGCGTTTAAAGACAAGCTAAAATCTAAACGTTGTTTTGTCAACTGAAGTTCAGTTTACTTCGTTTGTGTACTTCTGAGCACCCGCATGTCTTTATGTTTGCTGATCGAATTGTTTCCTGTTCTTTTCGTCCATTGCTGGAATCATGTGTGAGCCATTGGTCACATCCTCCTTCGTGTAACAGTTTCCGCTTTCCCTACATTGCCGACAAACTTCATTTTTTAAATGAAAGTTTTGGTCTTCTTTTCCGAAAAATTAGTGAGATTAACTTCTGTGCACCGTTTGCCCATGTGTCTCCTGTCTTCACCTGCTCAAGCACCTTTGTCTGCAATCGCACAACAAGTTTTGAAGCACTGTCATTTGTTTTTTTGCGGAGATATTTCGAGATTCGTTATGCTGATTGTCATGAATTTTTAGTTAGTCCTACTTGACACATAACTTGAAAATTATGGCACTTACTTAAATACTTGGATGGCCTATTCTCACTGGTTATCCGGGCCTCAGCATAATGTCCATTATTTCGGAGATTTGCTGGCTTGGCCATTGTGGTTTCCTGGAGCCCCGAGGTCAATTATGCTAAAGTCTGCCGTAGGTCTTCACCGCCACAGTCGCCAACGATCCTGGTATTGTTTTACTCTTAGCTAGGGTTCCTGACGCCGAACTCCTTCTCAGCTTGGAAGACCCTGCCAGGAGATGAATCCCCTGCTGCATATCACAGTCCGGCACCCAGGAACACGTGTTTATTATTCAAATTTTAGCTTCCAAGACAGTTCTAAGTCAAACCTTGCCATGTGAATTTCCACCCTCGAAAACCTCGTTGTAACTAGATCTCTTCAGAAGACAAGAACTTTCTTTGCTAACATCGTATCTGAATAGTTTCATTTGCAGTGTATTCAGTCGGTGAATCGGTCCAAAAACAATTTGTTGTAATTCAACAGCGTTTTGCAATGCTACATTATTTCCACGTTGATGTCACAATTTTCATCATAAAAGTAAACCCCTTACTCTTCTAGGTTCGGCAAATTCTTCTTGTTTTAGAAGATAAAAACACTGACTTAACATATCAGTAGCCTTCTGTGAATAGTTTTATAGGGAAAATATGCAAGTATCATCGTTACAATGCTTAGGATACTTAATGGAGTTGATTGCATGGCACATCTCCAACGGTTTTGTCTACACCAAATGCCTTCATGACCAACATGCTAAACTGTAGTAATTCATCCACTTCTGCTCTGTTGCAATTTTCTGTACAACATAACTGTCGTCAAAACTGAACAGAATTCCGTCATAGTTCCCTAGCCATTGCTTTGAAAATACGCTTTAAATAATTTATTTTGAAAAAACCGGTGATAAACATAGTCAGAGAATGAGGTTGAGTTATTTGCTTACCACTACAGTTGCTTGTGGGTTTTGCAAAACATGACCCACAGATGAGGTCTATGATGTGGTCTAATATATCACATCATAGTAAATAGGTTTTGCCTAACCGATGTCGCTGTTGTCCCAAAATTCTACGTGGGATCAGACCATCGTCTCCTTCGTACAAGATTCTATTTCTCGCGGAAAGAAGAAGCCGCTAAATTCAAAAACCGAAGTCACAGAACCACCGTAAACTGGGACTTATTCAATTCGCTAGTCGGGTATTAGGAACATGCCGTTGTCGGCAACATCGACGAAGAATACGATGGGCTCATTCAACATCTTAACGCTTGCGCTATGAAAGCTCAGAGTTTGAAAGTCACCAAGAGACGTCTGTTTCCAGAAATACTCGAGCTGATACGCCAGCGTGGAATGGCCCTAGCTGCAGGCGACCGCGAACTAACGTCCGAACTTGCAAAACAATGCAGACAGGCGATAAAAGACAATCTTAAAGAGAGAGCAGCAACAGTAATGGTCGAAGCTGTGGAGGCTGGGAAAAGCATTCGCAAAGCCCACCAAAGCTTCGCCAATTACAAGATCAAGATTTTTGCACTCCGACGCCCAGGCGGAACAGTTACAGCGTCCAGAAAGGCAATGAAGAAAATCATTCACGAATACTACTCGGATCTCTTCGATAGCCACGTCCACTTTCCGTCATACGAAATAGAGGAGGATGGATATGTTGTACCACCGGTTCTCCCTTCGGAAATCCGGCATACCATTTACTAGAACACCTGAAGAACCTTCCGCCAACCCTCGTAAACACACTGACTTGGCTCTTTACACGTTGCCTGTCTGAATGCAAAGTGCCTACTCAGTGGAAGACCAGCATGGCCGTGTTATTGTTCAAGAAGGGCGACCTACACAATATCGGCAACTATCGCCCAATCTGCTTGCTGTGTATCGCCTACAAACTTTTCACTCCAGTCATCCTAAACAGGATTGACAGAACACTAGAAGAAGGACATCCATGTGAGCAAGCAGGGTTTCGAAAAGGATTTAGTGCGATGGACCACATCCACACGGTAACAAGGCTCACTGAGGTTTCGCGAGTGCACAAAAGACCGCTCTGCCTCACTTTCATCGATTTACAGAAGGCCTTTGATTCAGTTGAGATAGAAGCAGTCTCGGAAGCCGTTGATAGTCAAGGAGTCTCTGCTCAGTACATAAAGATTCTTCGTGAGCTGTACAAAATTTCACAGCCAAGATAAGATATCACCATTCTACAACGATATTAGCATTGACGTCAAAAGAGGAGTTAGACAAGGCGATACCATCTCGCCAAAATTATTTCCCGCCGCTCTCCAGAACGTCATGCGAACATTGGAGTGGGATAAATATGGGAGTGAAAATCGATGGTCGGCAATTACACCATCTTCGCTTTGCTGATGATATCGACCTTATAACACAAAACTTCAGCCAAGCTGAACGAATGTTTGCCGCCTTAGGTAAAGGCTCTGGAAGTATTGGTTTTCGACGAAATCTCACAAAACGATGTTTGTGAAGAACGGATTGGTTTCGCATGCCCCATTCACGCTCAATGGAACGAATATCTCCAAATGTTCCAGTTATGTCTATCTAGGTCGGGAAAACAATATGACGAACGACCTAGCTCCAGAGCTGAGCAGAAGGAAACGAGCGTTATTGAAGTAGTCGAAAGGACGATGCTAGGAGTATCACGTTCCATACAAGCAAGGGATGGGATCCGAAGCTTCGGTCTACGTCAACGATCAAGAATCAAAGATGCCGTTCTGTACGCCAAACAGTCGAAGATAAGGTAGGCCAGACACGTAGTGCATATGAATGACAACTGTTTGACAAGAGCCGTTAGTGATTGGATTCCTCGGGATGTCAAACGTAGTGCAGGAAGACCACCGACCCGATGGTCAGAGTTCTTCACAAAGAGCCTTGAAGAACGATGTGATGCTCGACGAGTCCCTAGAGCGAGGGGAAACCACTGGGCTACTCTTGCACCATATATTTAGCACATAAAGCTGGTAAAAAAAACAGAGGATGTGAAAACCGCCGACAGTGCCTTGTAAACTGAATGCAGTTAATGGAATGAAGTATTACAGACGACATTAAAGAATGAAGTCACATGTCAATTTTGAGGAGCTTAGAAACTTTCGCTTTGGCTTTTTCGCTCTTTGTTGTTTTGAGGTTCATCGAATGTTATGCCTTTACAGATGTTTCTCGTTCAAAATCTTCAGTACTTTTCCTATAACTTCTCTTATTATATTCCATTACATTAATCCTAAGTAAGTTATCGACGTTAGAATATTAACCTTTGGCTACACAAATTTACATTGATTGCTTGGTTTAAAATAGATTCCTTTATTTCTTTAGAAGGATTAAGTTCGTACCAATACGTATATGATAATTTATACTATTTTTATACGTTTTTTGTATTTTTACTTTCTTTTGTTTTTTATTTTTTTACGTTTTTGTACGATGTACTGTTACGTTTATAATATCCCATTTGTAACATGCTTACTCTTTAAGAGGACACTACGTCGTCAGTGGATGTCTCCATTATATACAGTAGTATACCGCCAGACATAAACACGGAGTCTATGTCTCGCGCGACAAAATCTAGTGTTGGAGGGGAAATGCTCCGTATTTCTAAAAGGCCGGATGGTAAACTCAGCATATTTGCATGTGAATCGGACAACACCACTTCTCCTTCGGTTAGTTGGCCATTTTCACTTCCCAGAAATTCGTTATTTGTTGCAGTTATTGTTTCTTTATATTTTACAGGTTTACAAGCGTGGTCATCACTCTGTTTGCGTGGTATGCCATCGAAATATTGCTGATCGGGAAATGTTTTTGAATTTTCCTGACGATCTGGATAGGCGCCGTTTATGGGGAAATATTTTAGGCTTTAAATATTCTGTAAGCTCCTCAGCACTTATATTTTTGTAGAGATATGTTTTTTATGAGTTTCATTCCCAATTTATGAACTCACGCACTTCTAGGACATGTTGCGGTTACGAGATGGTTCCGTTGTACTTAGCACTGGTCATATTTGCACGGATCATTTCGCAGAAGAATGCTTTAGGCATGGGTTTAACCTAGATTTCGTATTTATGTCTTGAAAAAACAATATTGCGTAACATATCATATATACTCCGTTAATCATCGAGTATCTCATAGGGTGAAAAGTTTTTTTTTGTTACTGTCGCGCGTCAGTGCCATCCTTCGGGCTCCGCTTACTTGAGGTACACGACTAGAGTTAATCTTATCTTGCAATGCTTTATATTTGTGCTACTTTTAGCAAAAGGGTACGCAAAAGTGTTTGCCATGCTCTGTAAATAATCGGAATGTATTATGCTTCTTTCAGAGTTTTTAATTTCAACAAAGCAGCTATTGAAGCGCTTGGCATGCCATCTGTACTTTCTCCTGGAGCGAGGCTAACTCCATCAAGAAAATGGTAAATCTTCATTTTCTACTGTTCTAATTTAAATTGTTTTATCCACTACTTAGGATATATTTTTACAATGTCGACTACCATATTTTGATGTCCTTTTAAGGATTCCTTGGGACTGTACTGTGTGCTCATTTCAAAGCCATAGTGTCTATGTCATGCAACGCCATATGGTTCAACACACAGATGATGTTCTTCTGAGATTCCACGTAACTAACTAGAATTTAGATTGCTATTTTTTTTTATTACGAAAACATACATTCACACATTCGTATTGAATGTTTTATGCATCTACTCAGTTTTTACAGTAAATTGTAACCATTCCAGCGCAAAAGTCCCAAGGGTCTTCTTTGCCCCTTCTGCAGAAAATGTACCTACGGGTACAAGACTATGAGTGGATTAAGAAGGCATTTAATGACTCCACCTACTCATCACTGTCAACTAAAGTATTTCTTTATTGTCTATTCACAGCACAATTCATTTGTGTTTATTTGTACCCATATTCAGGCGAATTTATGAAGTGTCACGTGCGAACTGTCGGTCTTCGCTCCTAGACCCCGTAATGAAATGGTCATCGTGGACCGATCGAAACGTGTATCTGGCGTACCATGGGTGTGAACCGCCACCTAGGACCCCGCGTAAACAACCAAATGATGATGTTTCTACAGGATCAGAATCGCCGAATCGTTTTAGCAAGTCACCAGAAGTGTTGCAGAATTCACCCAGCTCAAGTAATGTTGACACTAGAATAAAACGGACGACACGTGCAGAAAGAGCGTCATTTCGTGCTGTTAGTGTAGTTCAAGGATTCTTTTCCTTTGTTAAATTATAGTGGAAGTACAACTTTAGGATAAGAAAGTGTGCGAAGCTAAAGTCACGCCTAGAGGAAGTTATAATAAAACGGTGGTCTCAGACAAGATCACGCAATCTCTGCCAACGCAGCAACGTACCACGTTCACGATGTCGAACCGCAATGCTCGTCGTTCACTACTTTTTCCATCTTCTCCAGTAAAGAACAATGTATCGGGAACAATTAAAGCTTCTAAAGCGTTATCGCGCCCGGTATGTTTTGAAGTTATCCGTTTTATTATGCATCGCCGTTTTAGCGTTGATCATCTAGCTAATATCTGGAAGTTAAAATGCTAAATTTGGGAATATCAGGAATATGTGGTGGAAGAGAGCTTTCACTGGTTTTACGGGGCAAGATCTACTTCATCAAGGAAAGTGGCAAGGCAGGAAAATCGAAACTTGAACACTGAGAAAAAAGTTGTGTTACGGTGTTTTAATGCCAGCATGCTTAAACTGCGTTGTTGCAAAGTACCTCCTTTGTGAAGATGATCAAAGGGCATATGTGTATATATACTTATATATGCATATATATGTATATATTGGCGCATGTGACGAAATGATTGGAGGCGCCACTGCGACACACTGATGGAATTGATCTCCGCGCCCATGGCCTACCAAGCCTTCCATCCCTCCAGGGTCAGTAAATTGGTACCACACTTGTCTAGGAGGATAGCAGCACTGGGTCGATACATCGGTAGGCCACTGCGAGTCATTGTAAAGGCCAGATATGCATTCAGTCACCTCCAACGATACTTAATGAAGTCGAAGGCATGGCGCATCTCTCAGGGATTGATCTACGCCTAGAGCGTTATCCTTTTTTATGTATGTGTATATACATATATATATATATATATATATATGTAAACATGTATGCATGTAACAATATATATATATATATATATATATAACGTTACTCGTAATCTCAAACAGGAACTTTTTCTATTGAGCTCCAAACAAATTTTCGATTTAGAAACAGCAGTATTATCTTTGCACAACAATAATAGTAGAGAAACTATGCATTATTTCACACAGGTCTTCCTTTATTATATTTGGTTGTCTACACCACTACATGCACTCTTAATCCTATAACATATCTCATCGGAACATTTAGAAGGTTCAGTCATACAGAACGGTATACAAGTATTTAATCTTGTTCACTTGAGGATCTTGCGGGGAAATTTTTGTGCTTTCCTGTGCTTAGGTCACATTCAAGAGGTTTTTATTTAGATTGATAAGGTCATCTATGAGATGACAAGTATTTCTTCTAAGTGTTTGGAGTAGGTTGTTTTTGGCAGCATATGTATTGAAATCAATGGATGTCTTCGCTAATGCGTTAAAGGTGGTGAAGCTGAAGCTTCCATGTTTATGTCTACTTTCGTAAATTCCCTTCGCGTTGTTTTCACATAAAATTTTCTTTTGGGAAAATGTAAGAATTGTGGATCGATTCGATTGCAAGTTTTGTTAAGGTTCTTCAACTGCGAAAACCTGTTTCGTCTCATGCTTTCAAGCAGTCAAACACAACCACGTTACTGAGCAATGAACATCGAGAAAAGAAAACAGAGAAGGAAATTACAAATGATGAAAAGTCTCGCACTGTTGCAAAAGTAATTCTTAAAGGTAGGCTATCGTCTGTTCGTTTTAGCGAGTTAAGGGCATGTGCAGCCACTTAAACAGGAAGTTCGTAAATCCGTTGTTTATATCAATACATAGTTGTGGTTATCTTAAACTTTACCACTTTTTAAAAACTCACCGAAGTGTTCCACAACAAGCTTCATGGTGATCCGTGTGTTTTGGAAGCCATTCTGTTTCAAAATATTCGCCTGCAGAATCGCTTTTATTTTTTCTGCTATTAGTAGTTTTTCAACCCTACGAATACAGTTTTTAGCTACGTCAGCACCATCTCATACACTAGTCGATGCGCTGAATTTGTCTTCCGAAGGAGAAGGGGGATGTTTACCAGAAGATCCAGCAATAACTGCGGTGAGTTGTGAGATATTTCTTATACAACTATTGTACACAAATATTTACTTGGTACACACGAAATGTCCGATTTTATTGTTTATTTTGTTTGTTTTCTAAATAAAAATTTTGTTTTTTACATATATTTAATAAATATTCTTGAGGCAGAAAATTTGTCGTTTCCATGTCTAGTATTGTTCATTTCCAATATTTATTATTTTAACATTTTTAGGCTTTAATTTTAGTGTAAATCAACGTAATATTAGTGTCCTTTTTTGTACGAGTGGAAGAGTGGACATAATACCGCGGCAGGAGCTCGGAACATTATCAAGTTTGGGGTGAAGGTAGTGTTGGTGAATCAAGAGTGCGAACGTGGTTCGAGAAATTTCAATCTGGTGATTTCGACCTTCAAGTTAGGGAAGGCCGCCTACGCCCCAATGATTTTGACGGCGACAAATTGAAGGCACTAGTGGAAGCAAACGCGCGAACCACTGTTCGAGAGCTTGCACAGCACCATAGGGTAAGAACAGGAACAATTTCCACTCAGTTGAATGGCATAGGAAAGAAAAAAAATTCGAAAAGTGGGTACCGTACGAATTGAACGATAACCAAGAAAATCGCCGTTTTGAAGTGTCGTCTGCGTTTATTCTGCGCTACAAAACGACCCTTTTCTTGAATGAATTGTAACGTGCGATGGGCATTGGATTCTGTACGACAACCGGCAACGTTCAATGTTCAACGATGTTCGTTCGTGTTCGACGTTCAATCTTTGGATTTTGATCAGGCTCTACAGCGCTTCCCAATGCAGAAATCTTACCAAAAAAGGTTATGACGACTGTTTGGTGGTTTGCAGCCGAGCTTATTCATCTCAGCTTTCTGAATCCGGATGAAACAATTACGGCAGAGTATTGTTAACGAGTCCACGAAATGCAACGTAAACTCCAACAACAACGACTAGCTTTAGTCAACAGAAAAGAACCCATCATCCTTCTCCATGACAACGCCCGGCCTCACTTTGCGAAACCAGCTCTACAGCAGTTGAACGAGTTAGGCTGCGAAATTTTGCCTCATCCGTCATATTCACCACACCTCTCGCCTACCGACCATCACCTTTTCAAGTACCTTGACAGCTTGCCGCACGAGAAATACTTCAGTAACCACGATGATGCAAAAAATGCCTTTAAGGCGTTCATTGCTTCCAGAACGTCAGAGGTTATTTAAATTTTGCATTTAAAATTGATATTTCATGTACTGCAACCTAATACATAATGCATATGCTGAAACATATATATATATATATATATATATATAAACATATATATACTTATACATATGTATGTATATATACATATGTATACATACACACATACTTGAATAATTGAATGGCCCGTCCTCACTGGTTGTGCGGGATCCAGCACAATCTCCATTTTTCGGAGATTTGTTGGTTAAGCCATTGTGGTTCCTTGGAGTCCCGAGGTCAGCCTATCCAAAATCTACCCCAAATCTTCACCACCATGGGCAGTCGCAGACTTTGTGGATCAGAAGGAGATTTGCCACTATGCGACTTTGATATTAGGACGGTGGTGGATCCTAGTATTGGTTTCTCTTGGCCAGGCTTCCTGATGGAAACGCTGGTCTCCTCAGTTTGGGAAGCCTTTCCAGAGGGATGAATCTGCCCGTTGAATATCGCAGCTCGGCACCCAGGAACACCTCCCATCCACAATGAAGCGGTAAACCGTTGAGAGGATATATACATATATATATATATATATATATATATATATGCAGAAACGTGCATTTCTAAGTAGGAAAGATATTCCTAATGATATTGATCTAAGAACGGAGCTGTGTAGGAGTGGTCACTAGTCAGTTTCATTTTGTTGGAAAATGGCTTGGCCAAAATTCCTCGCGAGGGTGCTTGGCTTTGTCACTCCAAAAATGTCTATTTTTCTAGTCTGCGTTTGACACGAACACTTATCGCTTCTGAACGCTGCGTTGAGACTTTTTTTGGTACTAGGATCAAATTTTCCCTTTATACAAAGAAGTACACATATCTGTTTGTCGTTGTTGAAAGCACATTCATATTTCAGCCGCTGTTTCTAAATAACGATTTTTCCGATCTGTCTGCAGCTATCATGCCAGAGTTTTTACAATTACGGCAGAGTAAAACTCAGCGCCAACTTGAATCTTTGGAAGCTAGGTAACTATTTCTTTTTGGCTTCTTGGTTAGCAAGGCGTTTTGTATTTGTATATTCCGCCTTTGAATTATGGCACTCTGCTTCCTCGTTAGCATTTAATGTTTCGTGTTCAACACATATAGCCCTATATTCACAACTTCAATGAGCATGTATTGTGGCGAAAAGTGCCTGAAGTGTATTAATCCGGATGAATCTGTTTTCCAGTCTTCTTTTTGTATCCGATCGATAGCTTTATGCGGTATCAATACTCTGTTGGAATTGGTTCAAGAAAATCTGCATTGTTCGAAAAGCTGTCTACCGTACAAATTTTTTTTGAGTGGGAAGAACGTATCCTGCGATTGTTGTTGAAGGATATGCAAAGGACTCTGTGCTATACTTTGAAAATGAAGTTTGACAATTAGGGACACCTTTTCCCTGTGGCAAAGTAAAATATCGTTAATAGGAGTTGTGTAAATATAACTGTAGTACAGGTGTACCCCTAAGCATTGCTCAGTTCAGCGTTCAACAAGTGTACCTTCATGTGCCTCCACACTGTTTTTCTTTAGCAGTAGTTTTCAGTTCTCCTCCAGACTTAGGTTTTTTCTGTTAATCCTTTACATATTTTAAAAGTTATGTTCAAAGAAATTTATCCACATCCGTTCTCTTGACATATAGAGAGTAGGAAGAGAGTAGAACCCTATCTGATGCCCGCGCATTGTTATATCTGATTGCAACATTCGACAGTTAGGGATTTGTATTGAAGTTGACTGAGTATCTGATCATTTATATATACATGTATATGTGTATATATGCATACATATGTATATATATATATATATATGTAAATAATATGTGAAGGGAGGGATGGGTAGCGCAGTGCTAGTGGCGGCGCTCGCCAGCAGCAGGGTGCTGTGCATGGAGTTTGCCCACGGTCTCCAAGCCTGTCATTCCTCTAGGGTGGGAAACTGTTACCACAGTCGTCTGCCATCAGCTGAGCTCTTGCTATCCACTTTGGAACTCTCTAGCACAGCCATCCTGACTTCAGGGAGAATCGACTTGATCAATATTTGACGGGACCTTCGTGGATAGTGGATATGAAGAAACGATTCTGATGCAAGTGTGGGATCCTTACAGTAGATCTGGAGACGGGCCATTTAAAATAACAAAAATAATATGCATATAAACATAAGCGAATATGTATTTATACTTTTGATTTTTACATGACCTGTCTTTCACCTATAATCTGCGGATACCACCAGTTTTTGTGGTCGATTCGTTCCTCACGTCCGTCAGTCACAAATGCTCAAACTTTTTTTTGGCATGTTGGTTCGGTTTTTTTGCTTCTTTACTTTTTATTATGAATGTCGTTGAATGCTGGTCGAAGCGATTCTCCCTCGCGTACGAGATAGCCGGGCTAAAGCATTCCCAGTTGGATTGCAGACAGTGATTTTTCCTGGGCAAAGTCGGTACCAATTTCTCGACCCTTTAAGGATGAGAGGCTTGGTGAGCCTGGGGTGAGATCAAACGGGCACCGTATTCAAGATGATTAGCATCGCTACCACTGTGCTATCTGCTTCCTGTATCCATTTACTGTAAAATGATTGCCGAGAGTTTCAGAAAAAGACAACACCGTCTATTATGCGGAGCAAAGTTCTAGTTTTTTGGCCAATAAGTGGTTGTTATTTTCTCTGAAGTCATCGTGATGAATTATTGTTATTTAGAATAGCCGGATATAAAAATTAGCCAAATAAACTCGGAATAAATTCCCAAACTTTCTTATATCCCTTATAATACAGACGAATATGGAGAACTAGAGATTATTGCTTCTCATTTAATGAATTTTAGTGCAGTGGTTAAGACGTGAGCCCTCGAAAAGGGTAGTCAAGTGTTCAAAGGTGGCGTGAGGTTCCGAGTTTTGCAAATATCTCAGCAGCATTGTGGTTGTACTTCACACAATACCCTGCCATAGGAAATGATAGGCATAAATAAATAGCTAAACGTTGTGGTTTTACAACCACTGTGGTTCTGAGATATTTGTAAAACTTGGATCCCAGGCCAGACCGAACTGCGACCACCCTTTCAAGGGGCTCATCTGCTACGCACAGCACCACCGGTCCTCGCTCTGCCTTTCTGTCAGACAGTCGTTTTACACTAACGGTGCCATCAGCAATCACCTGTCAGCGGGAATGATCTGGGATCCAAGTTTTGCAAATATCTCAGCATCATTGTGGTTGCATTTCACATAGTACCATGCGTTCAAAAAGTGGTGGGCATTGTGTTATAAAGGTTATACATTGTGATTTCGCCTACAGCCTTAGTTTAACTGGGTTTGATGCCTATTTGTTCTTCCCAGATAATTCCCGTTGACGCATGATTGCTGATGGCACCGTTAGGTAGAAAACTGGTTGAGAGAAAGGCAGAACAAGGGCCTCAGTAATATTGCGCGAAACACGTGAACCCCTAGAAAAAGTAGTCGCAGTTCGATCTTACTTGGAGTCGAAGTTTTTCAAATATCTCGGCATTATTGTGGTTGTATTTCGCATAGTACGCCGTGAAAAATTGGTGGGTACTAGATAAAAGTTGTACATAGTAGTTTTAATTCAGTTTGCTAATAAGGATCATGAGATTCTGTACCTCCCCAGGCCTGCCACCAAGGTTATAGCAATCTCGATATTGTTTAAAAAATAAAGCGGAAAATTATGTAATTTTCGGATAGTCAGCTAGTTGTCCATGGAAGAGAAGTTTAAAGTTGTGCAAAAACATCAGTCGATAAAAATATATTTGGGGATTATGTTGTACACCACTACCGTAACGTGTACAATTTTGCTCTTTTCGAATGCCATTCAGAATCGTAGATGCAATATGTTACCGAACAAATAAGTCGGGATGTTGGACTTTTTTTTCGAAATGTAAAGGTGTATGTGATTACTTTTCAGGCTTCGTATATTCGGTGATTGTTATGGCGTTGAAATTCCGAAGGGATATTCGACGATAGAAACTCGGAGCGGTGTTCGTTTAGTAAGTTTGCGGTTGAAACACTAAAAAGTTCTGTGCTTATTCGTCGTAGGTTTACTCAAAACTTTTCTAAAATACCACTTCCATCCTTCTGGAGTCGGTTAATTGCTACAATGTCTAGCTGGATTTCATTCATCACTGTCCTCAGAGCCACAGTTTTGGTTGTGAAATATCTCTCTGTTTCTCTTATGTTTTTCTGTACAATTTTTAGATTGAGGGGAAGCAAGCCCTTCGTCATATGACATCTGATCGGATTTGCCTTCCACGAGGACGCTTTGTGCCAATTTCCCAACGATGACATCGTGCCTGTCTGTGATCGTTCATCTTTCACATGTTTCATGAGACCAGTAATTTTATTGTTATAGACAAGTCACGGTTACATAGACGTGGATTCTTTTTTAGATGTTGCATTTTGTGATCATTTGTAGTTCGCATATTTTACAAGATGAGTGGTTTCATTGCTGTAGGCGAGGCACAGTTACAAAGACGTGAATTCCTTTTGAGTGTCGAATTTGCTCCATGTGCTCTTATAGTATTTTAATTGTTTTCTATGACTCACTTCTGTATCGTTCTATTTCTTAAGTTGACAAGCTCTTTGACGAAGCTTTCTATGCTGTTATAATTTTAGATTGAAATGGAGAGAAGCTAGGCGAAATGTCATCGTAAGTTCTTCCTGAAGCAGTTTGAACACTCAGAGGTGAATGACAGCAATGCGAAGAATGAGCATTGAGTCAAAAATTTTTTTAGGAAACTTTTCTGCAAGCTTTTAGCGAAATGATACTTGAGCTTAGATGTCGTTCATTGGAGAAAACTAAATTTTAACACCTCATTAGTATAACTGATGGAATTCGAGCAGTTACTACTACTTTTTCTTCTGTTTTCGTTTTTTAATTCCTGTTTATACACTTGTCCAAGGCACTTGGCGCTTCGTATTATTTTTCGTTTTGTTTTTTAATCGCAGGTTTTTTCAGTTCCTACTCTTGACAGAATTCTATCGTCGCAATTCCATAATGTTGTATTTCTCACGCAGTGTAATAAATTTTTTTGTGACTGTAAATCTCCTTTAAAACTGTGTAGCAGCACATGCTATCTATAGTTATTTAGTAAACTATAACTTCTCTAACGTTTCTTATAGATGTCCGCTCCCGTGGAAGTGGAGGACTTGTTCTTTTTACACCGTGTCCCGACCGTTTTCACGAAAATGATGCTGTTACTTTACTTGCCCATTGGTACAGTTGTTTTCAATTCCGTTTTCGTTGTCACTGTAATTAATTTATTAATTAGATGCTTGCATGGTCCGTTTTCACTGGCCGTGCGGACCTCAGCATGCTTTCCATTCTTCGGAGATATGCTGGTTTAGGCATTGTGATTCCCTGGAGCTCCGAGAGCAGCCTGGCCGAAGTCAGCCCCAGGTCGTCACCACCACAGGCGGCCGTCGCCCTTGTGGTTCAGAAGATTTGCCACCATTCAACTAGTTTATTACCAGGACGGTGGCAGATGCTGATATTGGTGCACTATTGGTTGGGCTCCCTGATGGAAATGCCGGACTCTTTCTCAGCTTAGGAGACACAGCTGGGAGGATGAATCCGCCCGCTGTGCATCACAGCGCTACACCCAGGAACGCCTTGCAGCCACAATGAGGTGGTAAACCGTTGACAGGGTTCTTAGTTTAATAATGCAAGGCAATATTGAATATTTATGCCGAGACCGCATGAGAATCGGTTTTGGAAAAGTCAGCTATCCTACAATTTCTTGATTTGGGGGCATACTGATATGATTTCAATGGTCATTGCTCTGTTGTTCTGCACACAGCAATGAGCGATATTTTTCTTTAATCTCGCTAACTTTATTTATGAAGGTGGTAGATGTTGGATGTAACCACGTGTGTAAATCTAGAATGTAACGTTTCCCGATCCAGTTGGTAGACTTAGTCAATGGAGTCAGAAGAACTTGGATTTGGTCTAACAAATTGGTTGCTACGTTCACCAACCGATTCATTCGAGCGCTGTTCATCGGCTTCTCATCCCATTGTTTAACTGTCATATGGTGTTTCACCCTGGATATTGGGCTAATTCATAAAGTGATTGTTCAAGACGGCTTGATAGGATGCCAGCCAATGTTTCCATTGTTTAGCAAATAACTATCGTATAAGCACCATAATGGTGAGATATTTGCAAAATTTGGACTCCAGGCTAAATTCGAGTCCGCGATTACCCTTTCTCATGGGGAGCAAGATATCGATTTGTGCTTTCGAGATCATTCCCGGTGACGGGTGACTGCTAATCTCACCGTCAGGGTAAAAGAACTGGCTGAAAGAAAAGCAAAGCAATGGTCTCAGTGGTGCAGTGGGTAGCACGTGAGTCCCCGGAAAGGGTTATATCATGTTCGGTCCCCATCGCAAATACTAGCGATCCACAGCTTTGCAAATATATCAGTATCATTTTGGTTATGTTTCATACAATACCCTCCCATTAAGAAAAAAGAACAGACAGTGAATAAAAAGTGACTACATTGTGATTTGTACCACACCTTCAGCTTAAGTCGGTTCATGGACTGTTTAGTCACCCCAGATCAATCCCGTTGATAAGTGATTGCTGATGACTTTGGTAGATAGAAAACTAGAAGAGACACACGAAACGAAGGACCCACATGGTGTGACGGTGAACAAATTAGCCTCCGGAAAGGGTTATAGCTCGTTCAGTCTCCAACACACACACTAGCGGTCCGAAGTTTTGCAAATATATCGGCATAATTGTAGTAGTATTATTTTAGTTTATTTATAGCTTAGGTTGCTTAGTTTTTTTTTGTGCCATATTAAAGAACAAATGGTCTTAAATGTTATTCTCTTCACGTTTGCAGGTTGTGCGATTTTCTTGATTCGATTATTTATTGGCTTGCACACATTAATTGTCGCTTGTTTACTGCGGAAATCTACGATAGTCAGGTGTACGGTATTACGGATAATGTGCGCCGTTTTGGGTGTTGTTGTACGGAGTGATGGAGAAAGGTATCCACATTTTTTGTCAGTATTGTTTTGTCACGCTTCTTTTCATAAGAACATCCTAAGTGTTTGTGAATGCTAACGTTTTTCGTCGTTTTCCATGATTTCTGAAAGGACCTTCACGGCTTATTCGAGCGTATCTTGTTTAGATTCTCCAAGGTGGGTATCATTTGCGCTAATCATGTGAGTACCCTAGACCATCTTGCTGTGGAACTTGTTAAACCTTGCGATTTCTTTTCGGTGTGGAATATTCCTTCGGTAGTGAAGTGGTATGTGGGTGTTTGTGTTATATTTGATCAAGAAAAATGATATAACTCATTATAGGTGCTTCGGCTACCTAGATCTTGATGCACGTATTGGGCATGCCGAGTTTGTACGTCGTGCTCGCGACCATTTAGAAAGTAGTAGTCTTCCACTTTTGGTCTTTCCTGAAGGTGCTATAACTAGTGGTCGCACTGGAATGCTTAAATTTAGGTAAGGTCGTTAACACATGATTGTCGTTTTCCTATAAGTGGCCATAATTCGGCAACTGATTATTTGAGGATTTGATAGATGGGAACTGATATAAAATAGAAGAGATCCAAATAGACTAACATAGAAGAAGAGGCTCGTACTTAAAAACGCTTGTTGTCAACACAAAAAATTCTTAAATATTTTAACGAAGGTATAGGAACCCTCCACGATGACAACGTGTTCAGAGATAACGTAATATATTGCTGAACGAAAAAAGGCGAAGCGTTACTTATGTGCTTCAAAAATCAGTATTCCATCTTGGCAAAGTAAAAGGACGTAAATCTTGTTCATAAAGATCTTTGGGTTCTAATGCTGTTTACGTTATTTGGTAAATTTCGATATAAGCTAAGACGTTTTTTAAAGTTGAAAGGTAATATTATCTTCTGCAACCAAGGGTTATGTATAACTCGGCACATCCAGGATGTGTTTCATTTCATGATAACGTCACAGAACATGATGCGATTCGTTTAACGGGAACTCCCTAGTAATATAATTCCTTGGTATCCTGTTTAAGTTAGCTCAAATGCCTTTTTAACACACTACTGGAAAAGTAGTGATTACAGTGCATGCACGAAGAACAGGGCGAAGTGCTGCACCGAGTTCTTTTAATATAATTCTTTTATTCAATTGATGGCTCATGGAACGCATGACATTGTGCTGGGCATCTAACTTGAAAATTTGCTGTCAGCACCTAATAATTTGCAAAAGAAGTTTTCTGGAAGTTTATTTCTGGGAAAGACTATTGTTGGTGAACAAAGTGCCTAGCACAGGCTGTTTGCCGATGAGATGTGTACAGAGGCATCTTCGTACAATTTAGAGTGGCGTCATTTTCACAAAGCGTGCTTTTATAAGCGTGTCGCAACAGAGTTTGTTTTTAGAAACTGTTTCCAGCTCTTGCAAAAACAAGACTGAGTTATATATTGAAAAGCGTAGTGGAAGCAATGAGTTGTTCGCTGAGGAGACTTTGTGCCGGCATTTCTACACTGACGAAGTCACGCTGCATACAACGATGAATAAAGGGTTGTTCCACTTGGTTTCCCGCAATAGTGGACTTCGTCGCTTGTTAAATGAATATTTTAAACGATGAGTGCTAGGCAGAACGAAACTTAGATAATGACCGGTGGTTTCTTTAGTTGTGTTATTATTTGGTCAAGGTGTGCAATTAAAAGTGCGATGCATTCCCGTCCACTTTCGGCATTTAATTCCATGGTAAATAGGATTGATTCGCTTTCTATTTCGGAACTGGCTATGAAGTATGGGTACCAGTTGACACCAGTTCATTTTAGTTCGTGGCCATGTGAGGCGTCCAGTCGTGTGCAACCATTAGCTGTGCGAATTTCGCGTCCGTTGTTCAGTGTGTCTCCTTCCGTCCTAGGATCGACATGGTGGGCAGATGTAGCGTGGTTCGCATTCGTTCCTTTGACCGTTTATCATTTCAATTGGCTTCCAGTCATGGAGAGGGGTGACCAAGTGAGTTAAATTTTCCATAAATAACATGAAACAGTGTTCTAGACGGTTTGTTCATATTTAGTTCTGTTAGGAAGCAGCAGAAGATTTCTCGAAAAGAGTGGAGTTTTGCATTGCGGAACAACTTGGCCTTAAGGTCACCAACCTGACTCACGTCGATGCTATTGAGGCAGCTAAAAGATTTTTACATTCAAGAACTGCTTCGACCTCTGTCAAGGTGTTACGTTTTATTAATGGGTTTCTAAACGGATTAAGCTAGTTGTTAATTTTTAGAAGGGGATGCTTGATATCCGAACGCTTGATGATATTGCTATGCGTATCAAACAATCGTACCCCTCAGTATCCATTCTCGACATCAGAATGGATCTTGAGAGAACAAAAGATCAACAGGTTATAATAGCCGTATAGACAAACGTAATATAGACTCTTGTCTCATCCTCATTTCTGTTCAGGCGACTATTGAGCGAATTCAAAGTGGAAAATTACTCCCATTCACAAAGCTCGCTGGAAAGGTAACATTTAACACTTACTTGGATACTTGGACGACGCATCCTCACTGATTGTGTGGGTTCCAGCATATTCTCTACTTTTCGGAGTTTAGCTGGTTTAGCTATTGCTTCTGTGTATCCCGCGGTCAGTTTAGCCAGTCTGCCCCGGGTCATCACCACCACAGGTAGTCGCTGTCCTTGTGGATCAGAGGGAGATTTAGCACCATGCGACAAGTTTGGTACCAGGACGGTGGTGGATCCTGGTATACGTTTACTGCGCTTCTTGACGAAAACACTGGACTCCTCACCATGGGAGACCCTTTCGAGGGGATCAATCCCAGCGCTGTACATTGCAGCCCGACACCCAGAAGCACTATCCAGGCACGATGAGGCGGTGGACCGTTGGGAGGAACATTTAATGTGCTGTATTAAGATCACATTGATGGTATGCTCTTTTTCCAGGTACCATCGGATCCTTCGCAGTGGAGGTATGTGTTTGCGGAAAGAAAATGGGCACTCATAGAGAAGAATCGTCAGCGATACCTTTCTAGATTAGATAGGCCGGTAGGAGCTGGAGATCAGTGAGAACACCAGATCTAGATTGCTTTTTAAAGATATTCACGTAGTGAATATAATAAAATAAAAATTGTAACACGGTGTATTTTCATCATTTGTCGTGAAAAGTTACGAAACTCATATTTTTAGTCATCAGAGTTTATTTGTTATACCAATGTGGTACATCTTCGAATCTCTTCGTTTTCATGCATTTCTCCTTCCTGCCTTATAAGAAGCTTTGTGTATATATGTATATATATATTATGCATAACGAGATTAAGTTACTAAGAAGTTTATGTGCAAAGTATCACGTGATTTGTCTAAAATGTGGCGTACTTGCCTTTTCTGTTGGAGAATGCGAGGAAATGTATTCCACCCTACGAGCGTGGGCGTTGACACCTGAATTCTCGCTACTACGTTCGTCTGTGATTATGTTCGGAAATTGTCGGGCCACGGTGACTTATAAACTTTTTGACGCCTTTTAAGAGGAGTAGCAAAGGTCAGCGTACAAAACTCTTTCTCCGTACTTCGATTATGATGGGCGTCGACCGGAAAAATTGTGTTCCACACAAAGAAGTACCCAATCACTACACGAGCTGTTATCACATCTACTGTGCACATTCCAGCACTTGCATTGGATTTGCTTTCCTCGCATTCGTCGTCCAAAAAAGTCTGGATATTTTGCGCGTTGTTTCGGTTGCTGCTTGAGGATTTTGACTTTTTTACGAGTGTCGTAGAATGGTGTTAGAGTCAATTCTTGCAATAGTGAGAATGGCCAGGCCAGGACGTTCTCACGTGGGTCCTTGTGGATCGGAGGGAAGAAGGGCGAAGCAGTAGCTTGTTTCCTTGTGGACTGCATCACTAACCATTCCATTCCTCACCAACGATATGGAAATACACAGAAGACACGGACGTTCATTGCCTGGCACTTTGTTAGGCCATTAACTGATATTTCAATTCTACTTGGAGTAATGAATTGTTATTGTATGGAACGCGCGGGTATAAAAAAATACGAAGGTATGCACAACATAAAGGATAAAGCTCGCGGCGTTGGTCGATTCCTGAGAGATGCGTCACACATTCGACTTCACTAAGCACCGATTGGAGGTAAATGAACGCATATTTGGCCTATACAGTGACTCACGGTGGTATGGTATACTCACAGTGACTACGATGTATCGAGCCAGTGCTGCTACCCTCCCAGACAGGCCTAGTACCAGTTTACCCACTCTGGAGGGATGGAGGGCATGGTGGGCCAGGGGCGGTAGAATCGATCCCATATTTGCTGTAAAGCGCCTCACACCACTGAGCCACACGCGCCGTATACGCACAGCATATAGTGTTTGCAGGGTGGGACATAGTAGACCCTGAATAGTAGCACACATCATCCATACATGCAGAACGACAGAGCAAAGTCTTTACAATTCTGTCATGTTCAAAACTCCTCTAGACCACTAGTTATCGGGAACTGTGCTGTTTACTGTCGAAAAACCGCTTAGTTCATAACAGTCGAAGATTAGGCGTCCTTCCGAATGTTTTGGCTGCGAATTTGTTGCTTAAGTAAAGCTTAGTTAAGGAAGAATGCAAATATGCAACCATATTTCTAAAGAGCTGGAAGCAATGTCGTGCTTATATAGCTAGGTGATTCCGTTGTTTCGCTGTTATGAAAAGGTTCTACCGCCATGAAAGAGTGGTAACTGTGAGGAGGACCTAGTTGTTCATTCTTGGAAAATGTGCTGGGTTAATAGAGGAAAGTTTCCTTGACTGGACCAGTTCTAATACGAAATAAGGGAGTGTACGTTACCCATCAGAATGTTGTTAGTAGCTCGTATGAAGTGCTGAGATATTTGCAAAACTCCGGACCACAGGTGTATGCAGTGGGGAACGAACACACGCTGTTGTCCTTACCGGGGAGCAGCGCACTTGTAACTATTAAGTTCAAAATG